CGAGACATATACTCCAAATTGCCCCCTATTGCCTGTGAGTTTTTTTAGACGTCTGTATGTATGTAAGTGGAGAGTTGTTTAGCCTAGTGTAAGTCTTTCAATTTTTTTACGACTGGTCTCCTTCCGCGGTCCATTACCACCGGACGCCCCCTTTTAGCTTTAAGTAGGTATTATGTGACGTGGCGATTGAGACCCTCCTTAGTTTAAAGAAATATGTCATCACGATTCCACAAATGATTATCTTTACATCGTAAGGTTTCGGTTTCATCTTGTCTAAACATTTCAGTATTTATATTGCTCACGAATGGTCCTATCTAAATTTGCGAAACGATGTTGAATGCATTTTTTTTTAGTTTTAGTAAGTTTTTTAAAATAATTTCTCGGAGGCGTCCGTTGGTGAGCCGTCCCAACGTTTAGTAATAGCGGGTAAAGCATACTGGCGTAGTACAAATGTTCGTGTGAGTGTCGATAGTTTAGTAGGCGTGATCATCGCATCACTTGTCTCGAACCCCCTCTGATTGGTCTGGCCCATCTTAGATCGAAGGGAACGACTTTGTGACTCCACCATATTTTTTTGAAATTTAGTCAATCTAAGATTGGATGATGATGAAGATTGGACTGCTCAAAAACAACTTGGGTTTGTAGGTTATGTGTCGTTTGGCGTCGGTGCTTTGAGTTTAAAAGGTCACGGCTTCGATCAGAAAACTTAAGCGTCAATCTGCAATTCCACCTCGTCTTACCAGGTTCTTAACACCACGGCTCTGGGTAGAAACCGGAAATTCTCTTATGTGTTTTCATATTACATGTTACACTCATGTCAGGTAACCCTCAACCCTGTGAGCTATCAGCTGTGAGTCCATGCAGATTACATCTGACTCTTGATAAGTGGTGTTTGAGCGAGTGTCCCAGGAGGTCAGCGTCGTAGCACGTGTTCTCGTTGTAAAGCGTTTGTTGTTTCGTCGGAATAGTTAGTGATATTTACAAAAATAAATTAAATCACTTATATATAGTTAAAAAATATTTGGACCACTGCATAGTTGTATCTACGCTTATTTTTTGTTTGTCATCACCATCGGAATTATTTATGTGGGATAATTAGTTTGGAACGTTTTTATTCAGTGTATTGTACTATTATGTATATCAAACGACAGGTGCTGTTGTATTTAATTTTTAATGTTACTAATGCGATTGTGATAGGGATACGTCTCTCTTGTAATCTATCTGATGTATTGTGAAAAAAAATTAAGCCAAATCATAAAAAGGGTATATTGAATTATTACTTTTAGGATAAATGGTGTTATAATGAAGTTTTATACGAATCAAATTTTACTACTGACACTGTATAATTTTTCTAAGTACAGTAGATTTTAAAGTCATATCATGATGATCTTGTTCTATCTCGTGTAAATTAATGTAGGTATGTATTTAAGACTGTGGCGGGCGGAGCGTTGCGACTGAGCCGGCCCACCAGAGCACAAACCACTGAGATTCCTTATCTAAGTCTACATTTAGTTTCCACCAGCCCGGGAACAGTCTCAACGCCCACTTGTCAATCTGCCTTCACTGCACTGTACTACTACAGGAGATAAATTTAAGTTCACTTGAATATTCAAATCAATTAAGAGTTTTCCATCTAAAGGAATATCACATTTAAATGTTTAAAAATGTAGTATTTTTGCATTTACCGAGTTGTCAGTTATATACGATACAAATATCTTATGAAGCATAATATTATATAGCTACGGTCTGTGAACCTCGGAATAATAGCAATGTAACCATAGGCAACAGTTAACTAAAATTTGGCTTTACATCATTCACATAAGTGGAATACTTACGCGTGACCAGGCGAAGCACTGCATGTGATAGCCGTACCGTACGGACAGATAGACATAAGTCGTTACAGTATTGAAACAAACCAATAGAACAGAACCACGATGCGTAAGTATCGCTTATGAATAATATAGAGCTTTATTGCAACAAGTTTATCTTATTTGTAGAACATATATGATCTCTTTATTTTTAATAGAATTTTGACGGACAATTTTACTTAATAGTTTTAGCAGTTTGTAGCGTTGAAATAGGAATTTATATCGCACATTACATTTGTTATATTCCACTGTAGGTGTATTTATTGATTTACATACTGATGCCATCCAAAATTAAGAAAAAAAAATCATTTATTGTTAGCGTCGTTGAAACCTCGCAGTACTTGTCGCAGGCGAATTGTATTTTTGATAATTAACAAAGTCTCACTAGTTTTTTTTCCTTTTGGAATCGTTATGATTTGTACATATCTGTATTATACGTTCATTGTGTAAATATTCAGGTTCAAAATGTTCACGGTTTAAATAATCATACTGGCCAGGTCTGGACGCTTCAACGATGCCGCTGGAGTTTTGGATAATGATTCGAATTAACCACGAAAAGCCTTCATGTTGTGTGTATATTTAATTTGTAAATATGTAATTTCGATAACAATTAATGCTTAACAACGATCGAGCCGTCGCATATTGTCAGCCGTTTGGACTTCTGCGCACACAAAGAAACAACGCAGCCGCGGAACTGTAGCTCAGTGTATCTTGACACACATTCCACAGGCACCGAATTAGCTCGATATCAAAGACTGTTTGCGACTTTAAAAAATATCATGATAATGAAAAAAAACGAAATATTTTCTGAAGCACCTTAACGAGTTTACAAAATGTGTTTTATGGTGATTTAATGATAAGATCGCAATGTTTAACTCACTAGTATGTAAGGACAAATGCTTTACGACACTGTGATAGACAATACATATTTACCTGAGAGCCACCATAAGCATTTATGAAAAAATTAGAGAAATTGTCTTATGAAAATGGAATGTTTCAATAACTATCAGTGTTAGAGACAAACACCGCTTGGATTTGTCGCTCTCGATATAAATAGGATACTTTTAAGAATGCTTAATTATTAAAGTCTCGTTAAATTAAAAAAATAACATTATTTCTTTGATGTTTTTTTTGGTGATGAGGAATTTCAAAACCAGTGTCCCAATATTTCAAAATCAATCGGTGTTTGGTTCTCGTTAAGTGTAAAAAGATCTATAAAAGTACAAAGCGTATGTGCAGAAGTTCGGTCGCGGCTCGGTACGGCGTTGGAGCGGTGATGTGAAGGATGTTTGGGTGTGTGCGTGTGTGCCGGCCCTTGTGTGTGTGTGGCACTTGTTGTATGCGGCCGCGCGGCCCGCGTCTCGCTGTTCTGTTTGTTGAGACATTATGTATATTTGAAGGAATCAAAAATTATAAGATGAATTTTAGTTTTGTCTTTTATTTTTTAACTTCTAAGTTATTCCCTATAAATATGATAAAACGAAATCATTTATTTGCTTGAATAGCTTTCTGCACTATTGAAATTGCATATAAGGAGCGACACTAGTACAATGCCTAACTAATTTTAGAGTAATCTGGCAAGTATTTGCTGCTGATAACCTTCACTCTGGCTAGCGGCCCTTGTGTATTTACATAAATTCTACATCATTGAACCGAATCAGAAACTCAAAAAACAAATTTAAAGTTGATCCAAAAGGACACCACAACATTTAATTAATCCTATTAACAGGATTTACACAACGACGCCAATTTACTGCATCGGTGGTGCAGTTGTAGCGTATGCAACTGCTGTGCTGAGTGAGGTCTCTGGTTTGATTACCGGGTCGGACCAAATGTTTTGTATGATCTGCAAATATTTGTTTGGGAATTTGGGTGTTTTCTATGTATAATATGCATGTATTTACAAAAAATAAGTATTTAGGTATTCTATCAGTCAATCTAGCTTTTATAGTACAAAATCTGCTTAGTTTGAAACCAGATGGCGTTGTGTGTCAGATGACCGAATCTTATTATTAATTAGCGATATGGTTTGCGTGGAGTTTTTCTTCACATATTTTCTTTTAGACAACTCCCGCATTAGGTATATATATATATCCTGTGTCGCGGCGACTTCACAAACATACATGAAACGGACACAAGAACACCCAGAGTTAGAACGACAATTTGTGGATCACACAAAGTGTCGTCCCATGTGGGGATCGAACCCACAACACTTAGCGGCGTGGCGACCGCTTAAACCACTACACCATCCGTGCAGTCAAATTAAAAAAGAAAAAAAACTGTCATCAAAAATGTAATCAAGAGGCAAAGGATTTACTATGTCGGGGTCCTAAATCAATTCAACCCTTGGAGCCCCTTTTCACTCGTTTGAAGATTATCAGCTTTTGTAGATAAAGGGTGTGAGTAATAGCATTAGCATCATCACCTGGTTAATACATAACTCCTCAGAAACTTACAGGAAGCTTTATGTTTGGGCTTACTTCTCTTGCAGGTTTTAATGAATAGGTTATTAGGTAGGTGTAGCAGATGAGACGAGACCGTTTCACGGTATCATGGTTATTTTCATGAAATCTGTTTGAAGTTTGGGCTTCCGCGGGGCCCCTATCCCATGCTGGGCCCTGAATGAAAGGAAATTAATTGCATAAGAATTGCGCTAAAGCAAAGTTAGGTACAAAGCCACTAAATCATTTTTGGAATGTGAATCATTATATTCTCAGGTGTGCACGGATTAGCTTATCATATTTATGTTAACTTACTGCACTTTTCATTCGATATCATCATAGTTTCGAAAGAAGAAACATGATTCTTTTACCGAAACCGGTTTCGAAAGAAATATTATTCTTACTTCGAAATTTGGTGTTGTCGGCGGCCGAAGGGAGATACCTTAAAGTTATATAAGAAAAGGAGGAGGCAGGAGCTGGATGCGAGAAGCCCAAAATCGATCTAAATGGCGTGCAATGGGACAGGCCTATGTCCAGTAGTGGACTGCGATAGGCTGATGATGATGATATAAGAAAAATATCTAGAGATTTTTACCAGGGATAAAATTGGGGTAAAATTAAAAATTTCCAAAATAACTATTTACATAATTTTATTAAAGCTAATAATTTAAACTACAAAAAAACTGCGACTTTAAATATATTTGAACACAACGTCTTTGAAACTCTCCACAGTCTGGAGTTCTAAAGTGACAGGACACTGTAACCAATTTGCTAGTAATTCTTCCGAGTATCCAAGAAGGAAGTACATCTTGGTTGGAGAGACCGCACGCCTGATGATGGCTGCCACTCGGATGTGATTAAATTGACGCTTGATTATAACCTGCAATGTACAAATTCTGTGATAAGGATCATTCTGTGGGTTATAAAATTTCGTACACGTGTGTGTGGGGTATTATTGCATTTTTCGATATTAAGTGATAATGTGAGTGGTGCTGGATTAAGAATATGGAGTGTCATCATTCATCCTGTAGGTGCCATAAGAGCCGACTAAAAGAGCTATCTATACAGGATAACAGCACTGCAAAGAGACCCAAAACTTGATACAAACCCTATACCAACCCATCTGTCCAGTATGGTATGGTAGGCCAAAACCTCCTTACTAAGAAGCCTATTTCCAGCAGTGGAAAGCTGTTGAATGGAAGTGATAACACAAATATTTTCCAGGAATGTTATCTATTTACGAATTTCATTACCGATAATTATCATTTCTCTTCATAAAACGAACGAAAAGTAGTTTCTCTTCTTAAAACAAGTTACCATAAAAAGATCTTCAAGGGGTTGATAAACTAAGTAACAGCACCGATGTTTCAATTAAACAATCTAAAGTAAAAGTTTACCATTAGTAAAATATACACATCGAAGACCTAGTAATGTAGAATAAAATAAAATTAAGAAATCATATGTTTAAAGTAAACAACCCTTACCTCACTACAAACGAGTCCATGCCATGTTCCAGTCATAAATCTTCTAATGAATTCGTCTTCTACAACTGTTTCTGAACGACGGAGCCCATCCTTCAGAGAAGCTATAAAAATGTAGTTTTTATTTTAAGAATAGTTTACCCAAAGGTCAGGATATGTTTTGACATTGATGCGCTTTCTCCTTGCACCGCATGCCTACACATTTAGTATGTAATTTTAGACTATAATTTGTACAACACAAGACTAATAATTAATTCTAGAACATATTACTTTGTACATTACATCTGCTGTTAATTACTTTATAATGTCTGTAAAACCCTGGTGTACAAATAAAGTATTTATCTATCTATTACCTATTACATCCAGTCCTGAACTAAACAGATCATGTACTGCTGCTAGGTGGACAAGGTAAAAAAGATAAAAAAAAAAGGGAGGCTGATATGATGAAATATGTTTTTGTGCACGAGTGCTGTATTATATTCTATTTTACTTTTTAGTTTAAACCTACATGTATTCCAAGAGTTCCATGATTTACGATGAGCGATGTAGTGAGGTGGGTTCGCCATTTCATAAGTAAGAGGTCTATCACGTTTCTTGGTGATTCTATACTTTCCCGAAACAACCCGACACAGGGGGGCCGAACTATGAAGCTGCGATACCAGCACAGGTGAACATTTTGCTACGATACTCGTTAAGCCCGTGGTAGACTGTAAAAATAATATTAATTTTGTTATACCAAAAAAATATGGCCAATGGCTTAAGTATCACAACAAATGAAAGTAGTTACATACGCTAGCTAGTTTAAGTAAGGAGGAAGTCATAGCTAGCTGTTTGAATGATTAATTTTCAGTCTTCTCAAACTATAATTATATCGCCAAAGAAGAAGAGTAGAGAACACTTTAAGGTTATAATTTTATATACAATAAAATTACAATGTCAATTTGACATTTAACAGTCACTGATTTGACAGTTTAATTGTTCGTTACGAAACTTACGGGCTCAATAAAAAATTAAGATAGCTCGGATAGGAATTTTTTTAAATATTTTTACGGCTTTGAAGATTTTAATTTTTTCGTTTTCCTTCTGCTTTTAATTTGTATCTGATCTTGTTTAACGCTATGATTAGAACAACTTGTACTTTACGTCATATTGTAATAATTTAATTTATTTTTCTAATGAAATTATGTTCTAGGTATTATATTTTTTAATAAAAATGACGAGACTTCTTCTGCATTCAGGGTGATGTTAGTGTTGCCACGGTGGTAGAGTGCTTCTGGCATGTTCACCGATGCTCACACAGACGGTTTAACAGCAATCAGGATCACTGCAGCAGAACTTAATTATTAAGATGAAAAAAAAATGAATATTTCGAAATAAAGGAATGATTATTATTGTTATTATATTATTACTATTAAATCCTTATTGAATTCTTATCAATGTAAAGTATGCGAAGAAGAAAGAGTGTAAAATGTAACTACCGAATACTATGACTTCTTGTATTATAAGTAGGTTCGTAAGTAAAGAATCGTTTTAGCCACATAAGTTTCAATACATGATAAATATTATGTATTAAACATTCAAAAGTAGAAAGTTTTTACAACATAGATTCTCTCGTTCTAGCTTGTTAACGCTATCACAAAATTTTATCGAATGTTTATAATCCATTACAATTTAATTAAATTCATATCAATTCAGATAGCGACGTATTTTTTATCGCTTTGGTAATGAGTTTTACAACTACATCTATGTGATATGAAGAAAATGTATCTAGTTTTGAGTGAGGAGTTCTTTAAAAAATATTTCTAATGAAAGTTTATTTTGTCAGCATAGTTTTATTAACCTACGAATACTTCAGCTATGGTACACATTTTATTTAGAGATCAAAACATTTTATTTAAGTAAAAGTTTAGCAATCAGCAAACACTTTTTAAACTTCTGTACTGTGTTGTTGAATTTAGTTTCTCACGCTTAGGGTCGTTCCTGGTGCAGAGGTTGACCGTGGCCATTCAATGTGGGAAACGCAACTAGGGTTATGGGCACCTTTGCGCTGGTAGCGACCAGGGATGGGTTATTTAATTTATACGTAATTTTAGTTGTATGTAATATATCCTAAATATCCGTCAATAAATTAATTGATTACTTAACAGAATTTAGTTATTACACTTCTAAACTTTATGAAAGTATTGATTAACAGTTTTAGTGTGTACCTATCATGTGTGTGTACCTAACATGGGTGTGTGTACAGTTTAAAAAGTAGTTATTATTCCAAACCCGATACAATCTCTCTTGAAATCTAGTTTGTTTTCTCTCAGAAGCTTGAAGAAGAGAAACGGCAAAAATCTGACAGAATGCGCAGAATGTTGATGACTATTTCAACTTAAATTGAACTGATTTAATTATCTTTGTGTAGGTACTTTAAACATCTGTTATATTTTAGCACAAGAAAAAGATATCGTTGAACCTGCAAGTGAAGGCGAAATCAACAATACCTTAAGCAGTCAGTCTCAATTTCTAGTTGAAACAGAAAGCAATCATAGAAGTAATATTGACAATACTTTACAGGAAACAACAACTAATTTTATAGAAAATTATAATAAAATCAATACAAATACAAGTAATGAAAACCAAAAAAGAAAAAATACAATTCGCGTTTTCGATATGAAATCAAAACAATATATAACAGTTAACTTAGCAGAATTGTCTCAGGCTCAAACAGATATAACAACTGATGATACCGATGCCGAAACAATTCAAGTAGGTATTGATTCGAAAACACATAGTGTTGAAATAGCAAAAGAAACCAACAACAAAACAGTTTCCATAGTAAATGATTCCGAAACTCAAACAGTTCCTTTAAAAAACAATATCCGAAATCAAATAGTTGACAAAACAAATGATTTAAGCAACAAAAAAATTACATTAAATCATTCAGGAATGCCAACAGGTTATAAAGCGAGTGACTCCAAAATTGAAATATTTCACATTGGAAATAATTACGAAACTCAAAAAGGGAATATAGCAGATGATACTAAAATCAAAATGGCTAACAGTTCTTCAATTCAAAGGATTGTTATAACTAACGATTCGAAAATAGTTGAAAAACCAAAAAATAATAAAAATTGTAATTCAATCAAAAATAATTTTATTGAAACGCATGAAACAAAGAGGTTAACCTGTAAACAGTTTATTGTTAAAATTTGTGATCGTATCGAAAGTTCTCAAAATGTCAGGTGTCGTGATGATACAATAATACCATTGAAAAGACTTTGCAATGGTTACATAGACTGCCCTGATAGAAGTGACGAAGTAAACTGCATACAGCAAGGTACTGGATTAGAACAAATTCACGTTTCACTAACTTTTAAACTATCGCGTTCCATAATATAGGTTAATCATGTGAGACACAAAGTTAACGGAAACCTGTGAACGTTATACCGTTTTAAGAATTTCCTGCCTCCTCAAACGAAAATTTCTCACGCCTAATTATCCCTAAAATTGACTATGGCGATGTGCGTTACTTCGACCTGAATGCAGACCTCCTTATTAAGCTAGACCGTCTTCGATTTAAAAAGAATGTACATAAGTACCTTCTTGAGTTGGCGGAATTACCTATTCAATAGTACACCTCCCTATTTACAGTGTACGAATATAAAGTATATGTATTTATGTGTATTTAAATTTATGTATGTGTATATATGTATGTAATATGTATGTACGTGTGTATTTGTATATGTTAGTTAAAACTATATGACCACATTTACAACTGTAACCTCAGTGCACCTACCTCACCAGATTTCCACACCACCAAAAGGTTAGCTGGTAGATAATGCCAAGGGCAATAAGTCCGCCGATGTACACAAGTGCATAAAGTTGTAAATAAATAAGTCCATAAATATATATATATAATTATATGAGTACATTAACCTACCGTAAGTACACAAATAAATATATAATAATAGTTATTTATGTACTTACGGTAGGTTAATGCACTCACGCTAGGTATTAAGTACATACCTATAGAATATAAGAGGTGTTTTATTTTGCAGTTGCAGACAAAATTCAACTAGCCAGTAATATTCTATTAGATGCAGAAATTTCAAGTGCATGTCTGCCCCCAATTATGGAAGATAACACGTTTTTCGAACAGATAAATATTTGGCAAAAAATGTTAAAATTAGAATTGATGTATATCAATGTCAATGGTGATGGATCATGTAAAAAAATAAGCTCAATATTTGATTCGTTTGGAATTAACCTTTGCAAGTCCATTGAATTTTTTGATATAGTAACGGAAGATATTTTAAAACTAGAAGCAGATTTGGAAATATTTATTGATAATGACGGTATATTAAACCACGTTGATTGGTCTCCAACATCGTGTACTTGTAACCATCAGTTTTGCAAAACAGATTTTTGCGATAGTCGTTGCAGGCGTATCTGCTGGCAAGTATATGTTCTAGATCATTATGGATGCCTATCTGTCACAGGAGCCACAACTATCCCCCTGGATTACATTTGTGACGGCAAAATAGACTGTATCGATGAAACCGATGAAGTATCATGTATGAAAGGTAAGGGTTTTTCGGATTAGCAATTTGAGATATCGACGACCATTGAGCATATTATAATGTGTCTTATGTACTAGTCAAATGCAGCAGGTTCTAACAGAATAGAAGACGTAGTAAAATAACAATGAGATGAGGTAAGCTGTTGAGCCTCATATCTCAATATGTTGGTACAGGTGAGGGAAGTGAAGGTATATTTCTGCATTTAGGTTTATAAGCCTAGCTCCTTTTCATTGGTATAGTGAACTGTGTTGGCCTAATGTCTTCTAAGAATATTCCGGCTCCAGTTTCTGACCCTATCCTGAACCTTTCCGTTAGTCTCTGAAATTGTTGTAGTTTATTAATGCTGGTGCGTGGCTCTGTTCTCCAACCATCAGACTGACACCAGAAGATACCAGTTTTGCATCTTCTCTGCAGCCACTAAGTAAATAGCACTAATATTCGACAAATACACACCTACATTTCTTTTGTTTCAAAGATGGGACTTTCACTATTACACTCAGACAAAATGATTTGTTATCATTGTTGCATTATAATTCGTTTTGCAGTACATTTACTGGCTCAATTTTTTTTTAATTATTTCAGAACCGTCAACTTATAAACACAAAGCTAACACTATTTATAAAGAATTGTTAGAAAGTTTATCACGAGTAGTAGCAGATCAAGTATATGAACAAGACAAAATAGAAGCATTAATGGACTTAGTGAGCCAATTACAGACTTTAACAACAAGAACCCATAATCCAGATATAAATACAATCAAAATATTGAGGGACAAATATTTTAAATTGCTTGTTAAAATATTCCAAAAATTATGGACCGCTGTAAGTGCAACCCGCGAACTAAACTATGCCCATGACTTTTTACTTTTATTAAACCAAAATATGATAAAAGCACTCAAAAGTTCATACACAGGGAACAAATATGTACAATCATCAGCAGAATGCTACTGTAAAGATAATGTTTGCGCATCCGAGGTTTGTTCTCGGAGGTGTACAGAATTTTGTTTAACAGAATCTGTTCTTACTAAATATAAATGTGATGATAACAACACGTTTGTGAGTATAGAAGTTATTTGTGACGGTACTGAAGATTGTCCTGGTGGAGATGATGAAAAAGACTGCAGACATGGTGAGTGGATAGAAACAGCACGATAACATATATTTTTGTAGATCATAATTTGTTCGTAGTAGAACTATAGTATGGATTTTGAATAGACTGGACTCACTCCCGTGCTCAAAGCCATAAAGAGCACTGCACACAGTCGGTTATTAAAGTTATTTAAGAATTACGCGTCCCATATTTTGCACGTCATGCATTGAGTTTAGAAACAGCTTCATATAACATAATTCATTGTATTTGACAGAGATTTGCCATGAACGTCAGTTGGATAAGTTACGTATTTCTTTAGAAAAAGCAGAAAAAATACTAAAGGAAATTGTTTTCGAGAAAGTGTTAGAAGTTTGGAAGGCCAAGGTAAGCTACAGTTTATTCCCATTGATCGTCGTCTAACGAACTAAATTTAATCACAATTAGTAACTTACTTAGACTGACTGCTTTGCCGAAAGCCGAGGGGGTTCGATTCTCACCCAGGACAAGTAATTGTGTGAAGGGCATGATCATTTGTTCTGTGTCTTAGTATAATTTTAGAATTTAGAAATACTTAGGGCATACTGAAAGTTTCTGCATTCTGATAACTAATACTAGATTTAAGCCTTACGATACATTTATTGTTTTTCAAAGTGTGTTCCCCCGCAATTAATGCATTTCTGCATTCGCTGAAACCACGGTACAAAGCAGTTGGACCAGTCTTCCTTAGGGACCCTTCAATGGCTTCATGGAACGCATTCACTTCCGATCAGGGCTCGTAAAACGTGTAGTACCTTTTCTGTTTTTTAAAGTCGTTCATTTGAAGCCTTCAAATAGACTTCTGTTACCTTAGTGGAATGTGAGGATGCGTTATCGTGGTTAACGAGGACATTGCTTCGAGGACGCTTTTGATGAGCTTTTTCTAAGACTCTGGGCAAGCAAGTGTTGACCTACCAATCTGCAGTCACTGTTCATTGATCTTCAAGCAACACTGTAGTGTAATGTCCTGATTTGCCGAAAAAATAAGCAACAATTTTTTTAACAATGCTTCGACTTTTCTTAACTTTCATTGGCAAATCTTTAAAAAGAAAGACCCACTTTGCTGACTAGCTTTTTCTTTCGGGTTCAAAGCAATGCACCCAGGTTTCGTCACCTGTAACTATATTATGGACAGTCAATGCCTGTCCTCGGTTGACACGGAAGTCGTTTCTGGTCCTCCGTTAAATCATGCGATATCCATCGAGTGCAAAGCTTCTGAACCTTCAGATGCACATGCAAAATGTTTTGAATTTGACTTATTCCAATGCCTAACAAAGCACGAATTTGCTGGCAAGTAATTTTCTTGTCAGTTTTAATAAGTTGTCGTATGGTGTCAATATTAGAATCTGTAACCGCAGTCGCCGGCCAACCTTCACGTACCTCGTCATGGAGATGATCACGTCCACGTCTGAATTCTCCAAACCACGAATACCTAACTGCATAACATACAGCAACATGGTGCTTCATCACCAAATGAAAATTGAAGTCTCTGGCAACTCTCTTATTGACTTGAACCACAACGAAAATCATTGAACGAAAATGTTAACAAGTTAAATTCATTTTGATAGCGACATACAATTTTCGAAAGGACGTCACAATGAAAAAACAAATGACAGTCTCGCAAATTAAAGGGTAACATGTTCCCAAAGAGTTCCATTTTCGAATTCCATCATTGTTTTGTCATTCTTTTATTGTAAGTGGCCAGATCCAGAAACTTTTAACATGGCCCACGCATATAAGTATGTTTATGAGATTCGGTTACTGTAGTATCTGTACTCTACAGAGTTTGGGATCAGACTGCCTTATGTGTGATATGTTAAGTTATTAATATTAACCATAGTAAATTAAAGACAATTAATCGACAATTAAATGTACACTCACTTTCCATGTTATTTTTAAAATTTACTAAAATCGTATCATTTTCTCGAAATTTGAGTGACATCTTTTTAACCCTGTATGTTCAACTCTGCGAGTAATGCCATGTGTGTTTTGAATAAAAAAGACGTAACTTATCACTGGATGGATCAATGGACAGATTAGGGTTAAATCTATGTAGCGAATTGCCCTTGAATTGCCTCGATTTTATGGAAAAGGAGGCACTTAAGCGTATAAGCTCGTCCTTTACTTTTAAGAACCATATATTTTTATCCAGACAGCGCAGACTGTTATTATTTCCGAGAATGAAAAGCCTAATCGCAGAACATTGGTAGACAAAGTTGGCCGAATTCTAAGTGAACTACTAGAAGCCTACTCTTCGATGGCACATACTAGTGGGACGGACTATTTGGATATAAAGGGATTCATGTCAGTGTCTAATATTTTCAAGCAAACACTTAAGTCTTGCATTAAATAAAAGCTTTTTCATAAGGTGTTGCTATTTATTTAAAACTAGCTGGTACCCGCGACTTCGTTAGCTTGGAATTTGAAAAGCGCTGCCTTAGTGGTGTAGTACGGTATGCGACTGCAGTCCATGAGGGGTCGGGTTCGATTCCCGGACCGGTTGTTTTTATAGGGTTTTTCTGAGAGGAAATATATCCTAAGTTACTCCTTATATAGATAGCTACTTAGTAGCAAAATATCAAAATCGGTCCAGCCATTTTGAAGATAACCCGCATCAAACAGACATGCAGACAGACAGACAAAAAATATTTAAACTGGTTTTTAGGCATAGGTATCATGCAAATAACCGTGTAAGCATGAAAAAACCTTTTTGACATTACAAACATACACTTCAATTTTATTTATTTGTATAGAAGATAGATTATATAGACATAAATCGACAGGTACAAGTCATGAAATTATTGAGTTGCGTATAAGTTGCGTATAAATTAGAAAAGAATTCTCAATATTCAAATAAACATGATTAGATCCTTGATAAGTCTAAATGATGACTGTCAAAGTTGTCAAAGCGTCTAAGAAAATTGTCTCCAATTGTTGACTACTAAGTTCCTTTACACTGTAGCTGTATAAAATAGATCTATTAACTAATTTCTCAATAGCTTTTGATTATATTGATCATAAGGAATGACCATATGATATTTTTCACTGTAGACAAGTCTACCTGTCTACCTGATGGTAAGTGAGTACCTACAGCCTAGACACAAGAGAGACATGCGTTGCCAGCCTTTAAGTATAAAGTCCTCCAAGAATAAAATTGGACATAATAATATAACTTTCTTATAAAAACAGCTTTTCTGTAATAAGGTCATAACTCATTAGACTCACCCGACACCCGACCAGCACCACCTCGTCGCTGGGTGTCCCCTCGCTGTCGACCTTTCGACCTGTCGATGTTGTCAACCTGGGAACGTCGGGTAGCCCACGAGTGGACGCCGCGTTGTTAACGGTAAAGGTGCCGTGGTCAACGTGTGGACATCGTCATCGTCACTCGCTTATAGACAGGACGTTCAGGACCTGCGCGTCGCATCGCAAGACAAGAGTGCGAGTAACGGGTGGTCTCCTAATTGTCCAATCGCGGTCCACAAGTGGTTAACTCACGGGGGAGGTGCTCCTGAGTTGATAAAGTGTGCGTATACCCATAGAACTCCATACAAAGAATACCAACCGCTCGAGGCGAGGCGGTGATGGTCGGATGTCGGGTGGCTCTAATGAGCTATGAGCTTTAAGCCCGCCTATAACTTGCTTGAAAATTGAAAGAAATGATAGAAATGAGTCACGAGTTTTATGTTTAATCGTCACTAGTTGCGATACTAATAACACTCGTCGTGTGTGATTAAGGTCCCTGGATCGACTTTAATTTTAATTTTCTTACTAAATATATAATTCCTACTAAAATGTACAGCATAAACCACGAGATATCACTGTTTGCTGACAATGCGTCACTTCAATTACGTTAAACAAGAAACATTTGTTTGCAGTTTAAACATCGCTATCTCAAAGTTGGTGCACTGGTTATGTGCATAACCAAACGAATGAACTCTAAAAATATCATCATCATCTTCATTATCATCAAAGGAGGTTGGTGACCACTATACTACGCTGGCCAGACGGGTTGGTATAGGGTTTGTTTTAAGTTTTCCTTCTCTTTGCAGTGCTGTTGTCCTGCGTAGTTTGCTCCTTTATTCGGCTCTCACCGGTATGAATAGGAGTGGTGACATTTCGTATTCTTCATCCGTCACCACACGGTCATAAAAAGGTATGAAAATCTATAATATTCATACGTCAAGATAATTCTTTGTGCCTACTTTGTACTCTTTTAAACAAATATGGTGTACGGAAAACATATTTAAAAAACTTAATTAATGTTTATATGTAAGAGAAGTGCAGAATACTAAAATGATTAAATAACATATGTTTTAAGTTAAAAAAAATATATATAATTAGCTATATACACATAGCTGTTGTCCGTGTGGTGAAGGATTAAGAATACGGATTTTCACCACCCCCATACATCCCGTGGTTGTCGTAAGACTGTGTCGTGTCGACTAAGAGCCACCTAACTACGCAGGACAACAACACTGCAAAGACAATTAAAACTTGACATAAACCCTATACCAACCCGTTTGGCCAGCTGATAGCTGATATCTGATGATAGCTATGGGGGTCCTGATATTTTGACCTGTCGTAGTACAAAGGTTTATACTTTTATGATGGCATGGCAAAGGATAAATGACATATACCGCTCATATACACCTGCAATTTAAGGGTCACAAGAGCGCTGACGCTGTTTCAGTCCCTCTCCCGAATTATGGGTAGCCTTTCTCTTTAAACCGGGATCCAAAGAACTCTACACGCTGTATTGTGGCTGCCTAATCATTATGGGGCGGCTGAGGTCTACTTGGCGATTACTTTCCTACTCGGCTGGACTGTGTGATAAAGTGATGACCTGCCCTTGAAACCCTCACACGATATTATTGCACACAAAAAAAAACTTAGTTTATCTTTGAAACAGTGTATCTATATGTGGTATCTACGCATTTTAATATATCTATTTTTGATAAGACTACCGATTAAGAATTTAAAGTATAAAATATATGGTTTTTAGAATCATGAGTCATGTTATAGTTACAAGAAAGAATATTTACCTTATATAAAGTAAAGGTAAAAATTCCCTCATCAAGAGCCTTTGGTAGTCCACTGCTTTGCATAGGCCTCTCCTTAGACAGGAGGTTACTGGCCTACTGGCCTGAGGGGTTGGTTTTGGTTTGTTTCAAGTTTTCCTTCTCTTTTTCGTGCTGTTGTCCTATGTAGTTTGCTCCCTTCGTCGACTCTTACGACACCCACGAGATGAATAGGCGTGGTGACACTCCATATTCTTAACCCGTCACCACACGGATGAAAATCCCCCTTTTTTTTTCCGTGCGGAAATCCCCTCGGATACGGTGGCATGTCGGACTCGAACCGACTAAAACCCCACGCCGTCTCGGGTACTAATAGCCGGGGAACCAGGTATACCCTAGAAAGTCCCTGGTGCCGGATGAAAATCCCCTAAGAATTAAAAATTATTCTTGAATTATCGTCGATGAGACTAGAACATAGATGCCTACCTTTTTATATTCAAATGTACATATTATAAACTAACTTTTGCAGGCGGCTCCGCTCGCGTGTATGTCGGTTAAAAGTAACCTATGTCCTTTCTCAAGAATCAAACTATCTCCATACCAAATTTCATCTGAATCGGTTCAGCAGTTATTGATTTCCGATACAGACCTCAAACCCCCTTTTTAGCCCTTTTAAGCATGATTTCAGGGGACAAAACTGTCCTATGTGCTTCCCTGGGACTTAAACTATCTCTATACTAAATTTCATCTAAATTGGTTCAGCGATTTAAGCGTGAAGTTGTAACAGACAGACAGATAAGAAGAGAGACAGACAGACAGACAGACACACTTTCGCATTTGTAATATTAGTATGGATTAGTATGGATAAATGTAAAGTTGGTTTGTGTTAAGATTGATTATATCTACTTTTCTAGTTTTGTTACTCATTTCTCATAACTACCACAATGTGCCACAGCGAGACGTAACAGGGTACAGCTAGTTGTACATATAATTACCCATATGAATGCAATTACATAACCGTGCATATAAATATTTGCATTAAGAGCACACTATCGCTACGCTACAGAGTTCGTGACGTCAGAGGCTTGTGGATTCTTCAGACAGCTTCAACATCAGAGCACACGTTACCATTTTTCTTTCTAATTTACCAACGTGTTACACCCAATTAAAAATTAATTAATTTCATATACCTGTTACGAGTTGTATAATGGGCATTTTACTGCTTTAATAAATGGAAACAAGAACTCATTTTTAAAACCTGCCGCATAAATACTTACACATAATGAAGATTTATTTTCTGTTTTCAGTTATATTCGTTTCTACTAACTACAGTTATGGTAAATACAAAATATAGTTCTATTTTAAATATCCATTTAAATTTGTAATTTCCAAAACATTAAAAATATACGTGTTGTCTTATATACCCATGAATTAAAAATTAAAATAATTAACTGTATTCACAACTAGCTTTTGACCGCGGCTCTGCCCGTGTGTATGTCGGTTATTGCGATCGTCTATAGCACTCGGGGATAATATACCTTTCTAACAGTGAAAGGATTTTCAAAATCAGATCAGTAGTACCGGAGATTAAACCGAACATAAAAACTCACAAAATTTATCTCTTCATAACATTAGTACAGATAAAGATCACCTCGCAAAATAAATATCGATATCGATAGGTAATAGTATATTTTACATTTCAGCTAAAGAAAGAGCTGATAACGGTTCAGTTAAAGCCTTAATTGTACACGAAATAATTAATAAAGTTTCCAATATGACATTAGATTCGTTATCTAAAGTATCAGATGAAAAAAGAAGGGTTATCTTGGAAAAAATTGAAAGGAAGTTAAAAGGAACAGCCAAAAGTTTGACGAATGGAGATAAATATGTCAAAATGATCATGCAGGCATTTAAAGACAAAGCAAATGCTAAAAACAAAAAGAGAAATGACCTTAATGAAAAAACAAAAATTAAATATGAAATTGAAGGAACCGAAGATGGCATAATACACAGTAATGAACACAAATACAGTAAAATTAATAAAAACCCCAAAACAATCCGACTTGGCAGTAAAAATGTTGATAAGAAATCTCAGAAAGGCAAGACTAATCGCAAAGTATTTGAACCCCAAGTAAAAGAAAAGATAATACGCGATATTGCAAATAAAATAGACTTAGTGGCAAAATCATACCTAAGAGATTCTCAAACTATAGATGAGAAGAAAGCTATTTTAAAAAAAATCGAAGAAAGGATAATGGCTTCTTCCAAACGAAAACACCTGCAAATACACGACCAACATAGTGATCTGAAAGCGTACACTGAACTAATAAAACAAGGGCTAGAACTTTCTATGAACAGATTAGCATCAAAAAACCGGCGAATGCTTGACACGGACTCAGAGGAAACTGAGGAAGCACATGATATTGGTTACAATGAAACACACGAAATGAGTTTAAAACAAATCAAACGATACAAAGCATTTTTCTCCGAAGTATTGAGTGAATCTTCTGTCGATCCACGTTGTACAGAAATGGTGGAAGGAATTTGTCTTCGTATAGAATCTATGCATAAGTTGCCTTGTGGTGATGGAAAATATATAGAATTGGAGCAACTTTGCGATGGTGTTTTTGACTGCTGGAATGAAGCTGATGAAACAAATTGTACTGATAAAGGTATCACATATTTAAAAAAAAATACTTTACGGGATAAGTATCTACCAGTATAAGTATAAGTATTTATATCTTTATTATGAATATTGAAATGTCCATAATATTGCGTGTAATTTTTATTACGTTTTTTTTCTTTTAATTTACAAAAAACGAGAAATGAGATCTAGTATTTTTCAAAGATGTCTAAATAGCTCAAGCTTTCCTTTTTTTTGCTTAAACACACACACGTATTATAAATGTATATATAAACAACCGTATAATCATGTCTCTATTTTTCTTATAATAATTGCGTACTCTCTTATTATTACATTTTACAGTAATATATAAAATTCAACAATCAATAAGCTTGATGTCGGATGTAGATGAATCCATTACCACAAAATGTTTGCAGCCGTTGGTTGGTACTCCTATTTTTTCTCGCCACCATAAAACTTTATTAAATATGCTGCTGTCACAGTTGGATTTTCTGAAAAAATACAAACCACCCACAGAAAAGTATAACATAACGTCCAAGGCGATAGAAGACGGAGACAAGTTTTTTATGAAAAAGACAATTGGGGATGTAACTTCAATAGTGAGTTCACTGTCATCGGCCCTGGAAATAAACCTTTGTTTACCTTCTGACGTTAAAGCAAAAGAAAATGTTTTATTGACACGTAGAGACATGGATAGTGAGATTCCTAATAGCAAAGATGAAAAGACGTCTACATGGTCTCCTAAATCATGCAGTTGTAAGCGTGAAGTTTGCGAATTGGATAACTGTGACGCTCGATGCAAAAGGATATGTTGGCAAAAATTTAGATTAAATCGGTGGAAATGCCAGTCTGTCTCTGGTGACGCAAGTATTCCTTTGGGTCTAATTTGTGACGGTAAACTAGATTGTTTTGATGAAAGCGATGAAACTTTGTGTGCTATGGGTAGGCATGACTTCATCAATATTCAATTTTAAAATTAATACTGCTTTTGTCTTATTTATACCAATTTGTGTTTCAGGATCAAATGTGAATAAATTTAAAGCAAATACCTTATTTAATGAGTTAATAGACTTACTGTCTTTGAAATCAATTTCGGGGGAATTTGAATACAGTAGAAATAAGATGGCAGCGCTGACAGGTCTAGCACGTCAATTGCAGAAGTTAGCAACTAGCTCTGATATAGACCTTCATGCAATCAAAATGACTAGAGATGAATATTTTAAAATGCTCGTTCACATTTACTCAGATGCGATGCGTCATTCAAATTTGCAAGAATTAGATCAGACGCATGATTTTTTGATACTGTTGAATGAAAAAATGATCGGTGCACTGAAGCGATCGCATACAGGAAATGAAAATGTAGTACCGTCGGCTGGATGTTATTGTAGAAATGGCACTTGTGTACAAGTCAGGTGCCCACCAAAGTGTCATGCAACTTGTCAAGCAGAACCTTTTCTTACGAGATACTCCTGCAACACGAATAACTTAACTGTTCCTGTAAAATCCATTTGTAATGGCAAAAAAGATTGTCCTAACGAAGAAGACGAAAAAAATTGTTTAAAAGGTAAAATGATTTTCAATAATTTATTTTAACTCATTTTATTAGTAACAACTAAAAAGTTTGATGTATTTCAGATGTATGTCGGTCTTATCATCTGATATTATTACGGCGTAATTTAAAAAAAGCGGTATTGTCATTACACGGTACCGCTGCACGGGAGGCGATAAACAGTTGGAAGAGTAAGGTAAGTGGTTAGGGTAACAAGAATTATACCATAAAGAAAGATTCACGTTTCTTCTCAAAAGTTGTTTGAATTAAGTACTTATTCAATTTTGGCAAAATTTTATCTACCTATTTCATTGATCTTAAATTCAGCAAATTTCTGCCTCTATATTCCTGAAATATCTGAAATGGTTTTATATTAATGCGTCTCAAAAATTTCATATTGTAACCCGCCGAACCGTTTTTAGTGAAAATAATTAAAACTGGTAAGTACTTGAACATGGATGTTTAAAATTAACCCATAAATTTTTTATTCAGGTAATGATAACTCTCCAGGTTGTAGAAACCCGTGAGAGACCTAATCATATGCTATTGGAAGACACTGTTATCAATATTCTCCACGACCTTGTGTCAACATACGCTTCAATGGATGCTAATATAAAAAATAGTGCCGAACGCATATTTAAAGAATTTGTTAATGTTTCTAATGTTGTCAAGGAAACGCTTAAGTCGTGTGGGAATTAAAATACTTGTAACGAGCTGTATGGAAAATCTTTGGGCTTGTTGAAAGAACTTTGAAAGATTTTCCTATTCATCGACAAGTATAATTATATTATAGTTATATAGTCACTATAACATTTTTTTAAAGAAATCATGATAATAATATTTGTTGTTTTATTTACTTCACATTGTAGATCCATTCATAAGATCACCTTACGGTGTTTATTATGTTAAATAGATATAATAATAATTTGTATATCCTTCATGAGATCAACTTGACAAAAGGCACGACTTTGTCGACGTGCTTAGAAGCTTTACGTATGGACCGACCCGACCGGAGTAATAAAACAGCCTCGCAGAGAACCGTTTTCAACAGTGCTTACGTTGCAATTTATCAAATAAGTGAGATTATTGGATGCCCAAATATCTGTTGGGCACTCAAAGGGCGGCGATAGCCACTTACCATGTGGTGACGGATTAAAAACACGGAATGGCACCACTCATATTCATCCTCTGGGTGCCATAAGAGCCGACAAAGAGAAGGAAAACGTGACACAAACCTTATATCAACCCGTCTGGCCAGTGTGGTATAGTAGGCTAAAACCTCCTTTCTAAAGAGAGGCCTAAGTCCAGCAGTGGACTATTAAAGGATGTCGATGACGATGATGAGTCACTTACCATCAGGTGACCCGTCTGTTCGTCGTTTTTTTTTGCGATGGTTTTATCGGACTCGAACCGACCAAAAACCGCACTCCGTCTCGGGTACCAGTTGCCGGGGAACCAGGTGGACCCTAAAAAGGAAATCCCTGGTGCCTCGACGTACCTCGGGCCATCTACGGCGTGTAGATGACCCCTTTCTGTGTGGGGACCCGCATGTCCCCATTGTGTTCCGGAAACGGCGCGCGTGCTCTCGGCCACCCCGGCCTACTTCTGCTAGGGTGACAGATGGCCTCACCTACCACCTCTAGACCTGTGGTTTTGGAAGACGGAGATCGTTCTGCAATCGCCGGCACCTGAGTCGTCTGTGATACCTGACCCGTTCCCAGGCCTGGCGAGCCGGGAGAGTTCTAAACCTCTCCGGGTCCCGCTCGGCCATCTCCTTACCATACCATAGCGGCGCTCCATATCATAGCGGCGCTCCATATCATAGCGGCAATCATATTACCGAGCGAGAGAATTCTCACTCCGCAGCCCGGCCATCGCAGTGGTGGCACTCAGGTGTAGGCTCCTTGAGGATCAAATACAGGTGATCTTCGAAGCATCCTTTCCCGGGGATCACCTGCATTAACCGGTGTGAGAGGGTTTTGTGATTCCTCTGGAGCCAATCCTCCATAACGAGTCATACCGCCGCGATAACCAGCGTGCCCAGTGCTTGGTTGCCCAAGTAGTTCCTTCCACTACTCCACAAGGACTTGGCGGAGTTGGGATTTCTGGTCTTCGATTTCTCGAGTCTCAGAACTCCCGCGCCTCCTTGCCTTGTGATACAGAGCTGCAAGGGCTCTCGCCTCCAGGTCCCAGGGTGGAGTTCCGGCCAGGAGACTTGCTGCCTCAAATAAGGTCGTGCGGTACCCTATTATGACCCTGATGACCATAAAGGCCCACAACCCCCGAGAAGAGTCTTCTGCAGAAGTCATCGGGGCCCCTCATGTCAATCACCACTCCTGGATGAGGGATTTTAACTTTTGATTTTACCATAGTTGAGTATACCTCAATATTCATTAAATCTCACTTAAACAACACAACTTGCAGTACTGCAATCCATACACATACCATGGTAGCCGCTGGTTATTAGTGGAATCATTACATGCTCCTGGCTCCTGCGTTCGCAAGGATCAGGAGATCCAAAAGTATTTTCTACCCTTTCCATAAAAAAATACACATCACATGCGACAGTACGGCACTCTCGTTTTTTTAGTTTTTTTTAGGGAGTATAGTAGGAATTTGCTATAATTACAGTTTTACCCACCTTTTGAAGTAATTAAAACGACGGATATGAGATTTATGAGACTGCTGCTACATTTCAGACTTCGACACTGAAGAAAGTTCATTTCAATGGTATTTATTTTTAGTCAGTATGTAAAGAATGTTACCATATCTAAAACAACAGACCTAAATATATATATTTTTTTAGGAAATCGCATGACTTTTAAAGTTTAACTAACAAAATCAATGTAAAAAACACATCCGTGGGTATGTTTATACAAGATAGTGTGAATTTCTGAGATTCATTCTATTTACAGGTTCGTTAAAAAGTTAGTCATCGATAACAATTGAAGCAAGGTTTTTCAATACCAATCAAATAGGTTTGGTAAAAAAAAGTAGGATTCAGACCTTTTTTCTTAGTGACAGTGGTCTCATTACAATACAGTAATAGTTGTTGCGTGTATATCGATATAGACTCAAACATCGCGGAGGAAAATAAAAAAGTTTTCATCGGACGTAAAATCTTAAAGAACTTATTTATAATATGAGTATGGAAGTATGGATGATTAAATGTTATATTTTAGTTGTATTTTAGAGTACAAAAATTATAATCGCACCGTTACTCCTTAGCGAGGCACACAATACCACAAAACTGATATCTGATTCCGTAGTCGTTCACTATCATCTCTTATCAAATCTCAGATAAAATAGGTGCAAGTGTGGTATGGAATAGTGTTAGTCTATATCTTGAGACAACATCATCGATATGGCAGGTGAGTTAATTATTTTGATTATAGTATACAACATTTATTGTTACGAAAATTTTCAGACAAATGTTATGACGTTATGTTACAAAATTGTGATGGGCGAAGCCAGTTTAAACCGATGCGTAAATTCGTGGAAATGTAATTTATGAGTAACCTTGACTTATGCATTTTACTTTAAACTTTTCTTCTTCAAGAACATCTTTATAGAGTATCGAATATTATTATAATATTAAGTAATATTATTATATGTTTGCCTTATTTTTGCTTCTGTGCAGTATTTTTGCTATGGTTATTTGAATTTATAGAACTAAATAGTCTTCTTTTTAAATATAAATGAATGTGTAATGAATAAGACAGTTTTGTGCATAAAGTGATGTTGTGTATGAATATAAAAAATAATATACCTAGTGTCATTATTAGTATAACGTAAACGCACCTAATAACGACCCCTTAAAATGGGTACCCATTACCGCACGTTCCATTAAACTATCAGTTTCGAGTGTTATGTTAAAGTTAGACAAGTAGTTGCTTTAGAGAAAATATATATGTACTTGTATCGTAGAAATATTCATCACTTGCTTATGTACGTAAACCAACGACGTAAAGAATAATTTGCAAAATTCGTGGTCGAATTCCGGAGAACGCGATTATTTCATAGAGTTCCGTTTCCGACAACATAAGAACTCTCGTTTCTTTCTAAGCAGAAAATGTAATTTTGAAGCATTCTAATCCACCTTCTAATTATTTTGTCTTTTTTCTTAATCCTTCCATAAACACAAATTAAATTTAATTTCCATGAGACACGGCTTACAAAATGAGGCGGTGATAGGAACAATAATCACAAATTTATTCCTTAATAGCGACATAAGTCGGTAATCCGACTCATGTCGCTCATTAGGTTTTTGACGAACGACGACTGACGGGTACTTACAGGAAGTGACGAGGCACTTGCGTAATGTGGGACAAATTGCAATGTACCTGTATTAATATATTTATAATGCTTTATTATTATTATATTATATAAAATTTTTAAAAATTGTCATTGCTTTTACTAATTAGTAAAAGCATTGACAATTTTTTGAGAGAGTTGGATACGCCCAACATTTTTTATTACTTGTGACGTGTTATGTGTAATGCCTCATATGTAACGGCAGTTCGATATTGTTTCATTATCATGGATTATTTGATAAAGAAATTGAAAACTATGGTATGATTCAATTGCAAAACTACGTATAGTACGAAACAACTACCAAATATATAATTCATTAATCGGAACTACGCGTTTTCAGTGCAGAAATTTGAAACTTCAGATTTTTAAAGATCATTCAAATCATCCTGAAGTGTCACAATATAATTAAATTGTCAGGGAAACATGCAAAAAATATTTTTCCTGTCTAAACACCTCTGTAGTCTGTCAACAAATATACATATAAAATGTTCGATTAACGTTGTACGTAACCAGAAGACTGTTTTTTTTCTAGTTGAAACGAAGAATTGTTTGTTATTTAGTACTTTTTCGTCAGATTTGATAGCATTTAATAAGTACTATTATAGTAGTAATATTATATGCAGGATATTATAAAAATATGAGTTATAAGGTGACTACAAGAAGAAGAAGTAGCTTTAGAGATTAGAATTTTGAAAATGGTAGCTTTTCAATTTGTTCTCTTTTCTATTTTTCAAGTAGAAAATAATTGGCTTTAAACTTTAAGAGAATTATCAACGCCTTTTTTTATTTAATATTATACGCATATTATTTTGATCTAGGTCGACCCTATTATGGTTATGGCCATCCTCCACACGGCTACCCACCAGGGCCGCCTGGGTATGGCGGAGGCTACCCCCCTGGTCCACCAGGATCTGGAGGCGGTTATCCTCCACACATGTATCCCCCCGGGGGCATCATGTTCTACCCCGTGCATCCCGCGTACGTCTACCCCTATCCTGTACAGCCACCCCCTGGGGACGAGGTGTTAGTCGCGGATAACACTACGCCGACCTTACCTGGCGAAACTGTCGAGTTACCGTGGAGTAAGTCTGGATTGGATATTAGGAGATAGCACCTTCTTAGCCACTTTCATTATTAGTTTAAAGTAAATCGAAAACTTTATGTTACATTCTATCAAATTAGTACACATCAAATGTGTTTTTTTTTAATTATGGTTCTGTGAATTACAAGAATTGCAAAATTCACCAGTTAGTGGAATGGTATTTTAGCAAGTATTGGTCTTAAGGACTAAAACTCTTTAGAAAACCTTAAAATAAAAAGTCAGAGACGAAAATTTAAAATGTATTAGATCGACAAAAATAAATATTTTGATATTAAAGGCAATACAAAACAATATACGATATTCATAGCATCGCTAAGATTATATTCTTTCTTCGTTCATTATCACACAATAATCTTAAAGTTTTGGATAAATTGTCAGTACACAGCAGTATGTTTGTTGCAGTCAAAACTTAACCAGTCAAATATATTCTTAAACGCTCTGGATAAAAGTGTTTTTGACTGAAATACAGTTGAAGGCGCTTTTGACCAGTAGTTTAAATCATTCATCAAAGATACATTCCATTCAGTTAAATGTAATTTTTTATGATGTAATGTATGCTACAGTGGTTGAATATGCTTTAGGCGTCAGTCAAAATTACGTTAAACCTTTATTTACTACGTTAATTATTATTTTTAACAAATTGCTAAAAAAAATTGGGAAAAGTACTTTGGACTGTTATTTTTATTTCAATTTTTTAAAATATATGGATTTTAGGCATCAATAATATCATTAATCTTATCCAAGACATTTAGTATTATAGATAAAAATCATGATAAACTTAACTTGCTACGTTTTCGTTGTAACATTGTTTTATTTTTTATGATCTGATAAGTAAAATATTATTTCGTTTCTTAATATTAGTAATGTAGGTATGATATGAAGGTGCTAGCTCTATATGATATTAGCTTGGATGTGTCGTACAGCAAAGTTAGGCCAACTCTCTTTATGGTGACTGCCAATCCAGACTTACTTTTGTTACGGTTTATTTTTCGAAATTTTCCCTGTAATTTTAATATTTTTAGTCTCATACAGAGTTTTGGCCATAACTACATGTTTGTTCCATCTGTTTAAAAATTTTAACCAGTACTACAATAACAAATGTACCTTTGAATCTATGTAAGAGTCTCCTCCTCACCCATCAGCTTACAAGAAATTATCGTTCCGTACAGAAGCTTGGAACCTGATTGATGAAGCTTGGTCGATGCGTCACTATTTTCTTAACACGAATCGACTATAGTCTTGTATTATGTTATGATGTTGAAGTTTAACAGCAACATGAAGTAGTCCCAAGTTTAGCCATTTTTAAAGTCAAATGTCCAAGATTTGGCCACGACACATACATGTATTTGTCTTATTGTAAATTATGATTGTTGAATGTTATAGCAGAAATCTTGAAGCTAGTAAAGTAATTCCATTATTAATTTACAGGTATATACCGTTGGGTGCCCGCTTGTTTGATGCAGCAGAGCATTCCGCCTGGCGCAGTGCGCGTGGGAGCAGATCCTGATGGTGATGAAATCTTCGCAGCGCGTTGTCACCACGAGGGAGAAATTCTTCCTGCCACTGTTATTCCCAATAAGAAAGTGTGTTACATTGCTTATGGAGGAGAGCAAGTAACCAAAGATCAGTTTGAGGTACATATATTTTTGACTGCTTCAAGGATTTGTAAATGCAAATAGTTTTGTACAGATGCATAATGTAACTAATTATATATTGTCATGATCGATAAATCCGTTAAATAGAATCAAAAGTTGTTAATTTAATTAACAACGATTATTATGAAAAGAAATTACCGTAATTTTGGAAAGGGTAAATGTTTTAAAATGATTTTAGAAATTAGATAGTTTTTGATAATGAAGGTGAGAAGGTATACCCGTTGAACAAAATTGTTAGATATGTTTGGTTCATGTGTCACTAGGTACAACTATCAACATCCACTGTTACACCATTGCTATAAACTACCATTCTGCAAAAAAAATCTCTTGATCTGCATTCGAGTCCCTATTATTAAACTCTTAAAGTACACCTGTCGCCTTGCCTTTTATCATCCCACCACTACCTGCCATTTTCAGGCGGATGTCTACTACTTAATTCAATTTATCTTTTACGAATGACTTAACAGAATGCCATTAAATTCTTTTATCATCTGTCTTCCCTCTCCACTGCTGGACAGTGGACTATTATAGGCTGTTGATGATGATATTTATAAAAACTCTCAACATATTCATAGTTCATTTCTCTAATTTACGATGTATTTACAGAATTCTATTTCGGATTCCAGGTACTAGTTCCTTCGATGTTTTCGTGGCAGTTTGCATCTGAAGGTGAAGTGCCCCCTGGTGCAGTCGAGGCTGGGACCACAGCTGATGGAGAAAAGCTTTACTTTGGCAGGGTCACCCATGACGGATGTCAAACGCCGGGCAAGGTAAGGAAAGAGATTGTAACCAGACGTAGTCTTTCACAAATAAATTGCCGACCAAGGAATATAGAACAACTTGCAAGATATAGAATCTTTTCCTGAAATAAGTAAAGTTTTTCAATTTATTTAAACTTAGTTACACGTCCTCCGGCTTAGCAGTCAGGGTCACTAACCACTAGACCAACAACCCTGTTTTTTGCGGTAATTGCATTTCTATATCAAACAGATCTTTCCATGTTTTGGTTTGCTATTACAATGGCATATTAAATGCTAAACAGCCGATGCCAGCTATAAAACTATATTTTTTTGTTTATCGGTCTAAGGACATAGGATGAAGGTGATTCTTATTTCTTTTTACTTTAAGCCATTCTATAAGCTGTATGTCCTTGTTAAGATGTCAGGTTCTATGATTAAAAAAGAAAATTTTCGCCCATTGGCGCTAAACAAGTGTTCTCATTGAATCACGAGGGACTTTACCAACATACATGAAACGGACACAAAAAACACCCAGACTCAATTTGTGGATCACACAAAGTGTAGTCCCATGTGGGGATCTGACCCACAACACTCAGCGTAGTAGTAAGCGGCGAGGTGACCGCTATCAAAATATCTTATATTGATTGTATCATCTACGCTTATAGATACGCCCGTTTAAAATGCACTTGTTCCGAAATTAATTTATGCACAAAAGACAAGTAAAAGCATTCAACTAAAGTTGAATTCATTTTTTTTTTAATAATATGTTTATTAATTTCCCAGATCCACCCGAGTGCCGGTACTTGTATATATCCATTTGAAGGCGAGGAAAAGAGTAGCAGCGAATACGAAGCTCTCGTTCTCATATAAAGCAAAAACCAAGACACTAGTAAAACTTTTACTTTATATATTTTTGTTATGTTAAAGACCTTCAAGGCCATTATCATGAATTGCTGTACATTACATAGCATTATATTATTTAACATTGCATTTCATTAATTTGTATTACATAACATTGGCATATGACCAGTACTTCGCAGGATATAAATTTCCTGTTATTAGGTTACTTATTTTGTTAACTTTTTACTTGTTTTGTGGTATGATTGCTAAAGTCTATTTTTAGTTTTAATATAATAAATATAGTAATATTATTATGTAGTATTTATTTACCTCATAAAACATTAAAATATTATTAAAACAGAGCTCAGAATAGAATGCCGAATTAACCTTAATCGGTGAACTGTTCGCTGAAAACACCCTTCGTCCGACGTCAGTTCTACAAATAATAGGTTACCGATGAACTGTTCTCCGAAAACAACGTCCTTAAAAGAATAAGGAAGTTTCTAGGAGTTCTAATCCTTTCTAAGGAGAGGCCTATGTCAAGCAGTGGACTATTATAGGCTGTTGATAATGATGATGATGTTTCTAGGTTTATGTGTGTTATAGCATCAGATAGTTGAGATTGTGGACACGATCGTGAAGAAGTCTTGGCGAACGAGAAAGGTTTGTTGGGCAAGTTCTGATGTCATAAAGTCTAAACACGGGAGCAAGTTGTAATGTATTTTTAAAATAGTATTATTCAATCAGGGTCTTAGGGTCCCCCAAAGTATATGCAATCTTCCTGCAGTAGCATCTCGTTATTCCTGGATAGGCATTTCAACCCGAGGCCTTTTTCGGAACGATTCGGTAAGGCTGATTTCACAGCTCTGTAAGAGATTAGTACAATCGCAAGTACATAGTTTTTTTATGTCTGTCTGTTTGTCTGCCACTGGTATCCGTCTCATACTCAATACCCGCTTCAGAGCTGGTGTGAAACCAGTCAAACCAGCCCCAAAAAATGAAATAATAAACATGTGACACAAAACAATGACGTACAATTTGCCTTTTTATTTTTTTCCGTGCGTAAATCCCCTCGGATACCACCTATCGGTGGCATGTCGGACTCGAACCGACTAAAACCGCACGCCGTCTCGGGTACTAATAGCCGGGGAACCAGGTATACCCTAGAAAGGAAGTCCCTGGTGCCCCACATCGGGCCATCTACAGGCGAGTAGACGACCCCCCCCCCCGTGTGGGAACCCCATGTTCCCTCTGCTCCCTGGAAGCGAGCGCGCTTCGCACCGCGCTCGCCGCCACCCCGGCCTGCTTCTGCTAGGATGACAGATGGCCTCACCTGTCACCCCGTCGTTCTGCGACCTCCGGCGCCTGAGTCGCCTGCGGTACCTGGCCCGTTCCCGGGCCTGGCGGGCCGGGGGAGTTCTAAACCTCTCCCGGTCCCGCTCCGCGGTCTCCTTCGCGAGCATAACTTGCTCGCAGAAGGAGACGGCAGAGTTCCACGCACTCTCGCTCCGCACGATAGCCGCAATCAGGCTATCGAGCGAGAGAACTCCCACTCCGATGGCCGCCACGAGGTCTCGCCTCTGCTCAACCCACGCCGGGCACTCTGCCAGCGTGTGGAGAGCCGTGTCCACGGTCTGGCCATCGCAGTGGTGGCACTCAGGCGTTGGCTCCTTGCGGATCAGACACAGGTGATCCCCGAAACATCCTTTCCCAGTGATCACCTGCGTCAGTCGGTATGAGAGGGTCCTCTACAATCCTCCATAAAGGGTCTTACAGCCGCGAGGACGGCGTGCCCGGCGCTCGGTTGCCCGAGTCGTTCCCTCCACTCCCCTATGATGACCTGGCGGAGTTGGGATTTCCGGTCATCGATTTCTCGAATCTCGGGACACCGACCCAACTCCCGCCCCTCCTTGCGCCACTGATACAGAGCCGCAAGGGCTCTGGCCTCCAGGTCCCACGGTGAAGTTCCGGCCAGGAGACTCGCCGCCTCAAAGGAGATCGTGCGGTACCCCCTTATGATCCTGATGGCCAGCACTCGCTGCACGTACAATTTGCCTGAGTATATAATTATTGATTATCAAGTACCGTGTTAATCACACCTTCTAACTTATGTTCTTATTACTTCTAGTTTGTGTTTGAAATTATAATTTAACGATGTTGTTCTCAATACCAATTAATTAACGTTTAAAATTATCAGCAACTTCAATGCGTCACCATCATAAAGAATTGTCATACACTGTATTCTTCATCCTTTAATTTTCCACCCCTAATGATGGTATTTTTTCCTCCAATTGGTTTGAGACCAAATGGAAAGTATACCCTTCTCAGTAAAAAATATTTTTCAAATCGTTTCTTCGTCAATCGTTCTTCATTCAATCGTTCTGAGGTATCAAACCTAAAAGAAAAATACAACGAATTGAAAACCTCCTACTTTTTTTTGGAGTTGGTTTAAAAAGAAAGAATTGGTCAAGCAACAAACCACAAAGTAATTTGACAATTATTTTAACGTTCGCTAAATACTAAATACATTAAGTATCATTATTTAATGTTTCAAGTCTTTATTGACACAGCACGTTCTTTGTAATAAAATACACTTGTAAAGTAGAACCGTGTTAGTCTCTTTTGGATAATAGCGACGTCAACATGGCAGGTTAGTGACACGTTATCAGTATTTAGAGAATAATCTAACAGCATCATGTTTGTGATAGTGTGTTTCAGTTTCTTCCTAAGTTAGCTGATTGTAATAACCTTCTATTGAATTTTTAACGTATGCCAATAATACTTTTTGTATTTAAAATAGGTTAAAACAAGTTTAGTATGTCTAAGTTATTTATTAAAAGTGCGTATGTATACAGTTGTCAGACTAGGAGAACATTATTCCTTTTCTCAGCATTCATAAGCGAGAGACATGTTCTAGAATTTGTTGGGTCAGTCAGATTACCCAAAAACTGACTGCCCGGGTCGATCAGGTGTTGGACTTACAATGAGATTTTAGTAGGGCGGTGGTCGATATAACTATTGGCACCTTCAGTGGGACAATAACCGCGGACGCCAAACACGAATAAGTGTATAATTGCTTTCAGACTCAAATGTTTACTAGGTATATAATCTGGAACAGTATATTTATTCACCAGTACATCTTTTTAGCACATGTTCTGTGTAATTTAGGTCTAAATTGCACAATGAAGGCAGAATGCAATTGCGATACGACAGATTAACACCGAGATGGACCCCCCCGCCCCCGTCCATGATAGGTATCCTTGATCTTCCACCCCACTAACAAAAAATGGTCTATATTTTACACAGAAAAGGCAATCTTTAAGCATTACTTACAGATAATATTTAATAAAAAGCATCTGAAACTTAATAAAAGTGTTATCTTCATAATTTCAGGTCCATATCGTTGGGTACCGGCTTCCTTGCACCAACGTGGCATCCCGGCTGGTGCGCTGCATGTGGGCAACGATGAAGACGGCTCAGAGATCTACGCAGGTCGCGCAAGCCATGAAGGCGACATTATCCCCGCCAAGGTCATACCCTCGAAACAAGCTTGTTATGTCAGTTATGGTGGAGAAGAAATATTAAAAGATCAATTCGAGGTACTGTTTTTTATTTCTTATAATAGCTCTCATTATATAAATTGCAGTAAACGGCATAGCTTTGATGATAAAACGGTGAACGCTAAGTCGAGCCTACCGGGAAGAGGCCGACCGAGGAGTCGGTGTCAGTCCGCAAAACGGCCTCACCGAAAGGACCCATGAAGTACCCAAAAGTGCTTTCACAGAAAAATAAAAGAAAAATCTCCCATCCTTTTCAGAACTTGTGTCTCTTCGTTTGCAGGTGTTCAAGGAGAGGTTCAGGGAGCCACTTACTATCAGGAGACAAAAAAAAATTATAGTAATGGTTGACTTTCATGATGTATGTATACTTTGTAGCAAATCATTCTTACTTTCAGGTGTTAATCCCCGCGGTGTTCTCGTGGCAGTATTCAATGAACGGCCAGGTGCCTCCCGGTGCTGTTGAGGCAGGGTACACTGCTGAGGGAGAAATTTTGTACTTGGGTAGAGTAAGACATGATGGATGCACCACACCTGGCAAGGTAAGAACTTTTGACATTCGAAAGAACAAATCGTAATCGACTGATTCTAATGAATATTTCATTAGTTTCGACCACAGTCATTTTTCCTTTATTTTTAGAAACAGATTTTGCATCGTAATGAATATTCTAAATACTCTTTACATAAAAACTAAGCAAGGCTAAAGAGTCGTGTATTGTAAAAGTACAATGAACGTTCTGTAAATGTCATACAGTAATAAAAACCTATACGAGTACAGATAAACCGCGACTATCAATGTTGGTGACACCATTGACCCACCATATCTGGGTTGAAAAGCTTTACCCTCTGCCGAGGTAGCTCTGTTTATTACGCCTTTTGATTAGCACTAAGATAGAATCATCGTACGTAGCTATATTTATGCTACGTGAAACAAGTACTTCGACTTAACCAAAGAAATAACTAGGAATAGTTATGTCGTTAAAGTATACCTGCTAAATCCCTCTATAAACTGCTTGAAGATCTTGGATTGCCGAGAGCTTCAGTAAGCTCTTTTCTTGAACGAATATAAAAAGCGGCATTGCTAGGTTCGTATCAAATATGGTTAGGTAGAGGGGGTAACACAGCAGACAGTGGAGGTAAGCGCTGACGCGTCGCAAAGAGTACTCCCTAAACCTATACCTGGGTCGCAAGTCCCGGCGCTGTCGAAGTCGCATGTGTTGCCCCCATCTGTCAATCGATGGACCCGGCAACCGCACGGTGAATCCATGGAACGCTAAGAAAAAGGTATTTTTACGATTAATATTATAAAACTAAATAACTTTTTGTTCCCTCGCGCTAATCTCTGAAACCACCAATCGAATTAGAAACAAACTTACTGTATTAGATAGAATATTCATTTAGGAAGGTTATTGGGTATGTAATATTACGAAATGGGTCTTAGGAGCGGGGCAGTGACTATTAACGCGGTGGAAACTGCAGGCAACGGCTTGGTATATACATATATCCAGATTTTTTGTCAACTTGTGTTGACTTCCTTCTTTAAAAGTATCGACAAAGTATACTAAGATGTTTATAAATTTCAGATTCAGCCGAGCCACGGTACTTGTTATTATCCTTTCGGTGGAGAGGAGCGGAGCAGCCGAGAGTACGAAGTCCTTGTCCTAAACTAAAAGTATATGTTTTTTTATAACTAAGATACGCATTACAGAGATACAATACAATAATGGCCTATCACAGCAATAAAAAGGTTTAATAGTGTCCTTCGTCCTTTTAATATTTTTTTTCCATCTTTGCCTTTTTCATAAACAACTTTTGATCTATACACTTTTTTTTTTATTTTTGAAAAAAGACGCCCCATTACGAATATACCCTATGTTGCGACACAGGATATTTTATTTACAAACATACATGAAACGGACATAAATAACAACCAGACACAGAACAACAATTTGTAGATCACACAAAGTGTCGTCCCATGTGGGGTTCGAACCCACAACACTCAGAGCAGTAGGAAGCGGCGTGGCGACCGCTTCAACCACTACGCCGTCCGTGCATATTGATATTAATATACACATTTACATTGAAAATTACGAGTATTATCCCAATCATCTTATACCTATATACATTATATATATGTATTTATAATGTTATATTAATTTTATTTTTTTGCTTATTTATTACTAATACATAATATACACATACCAATAAGTTATTAGTATGTACGCATAAATCGTTTGATACTAACGTGACATCGCCTTTGGCGATACCAATACATTGTGACTGCAATAATTAAGTTAAGGAAGGAACTACTGTTACCAAAAGTGCTTTATTTATGGTTTAATGTAAGAAATATGAAATACCATCCTAAGTGGCGTTCTAGTACAAGCAGAGGGGCGTAAAACACACAGTGTTGTGAAATAAAAAAAAATTAACCGTTTCCTTTATATTACTTCATATATTCTTAAAATTCGTTCTCAGTCATAAAGTCGCTATGGAACCTTTTAAGTTAAGGTGAGTACACTAACAGCGTTCTATACGAGTTAATCGCTCGTATGAAACATTAAATAAATAGGCTTATGATTAGGTTTTGGTAAACTCAAACTCAAACTCAAACTTTCTTTATTTCATAAAATTTTCAAAATTGTTTGAAATCGTCTTCCATGTAGACTCTAAAGTCATAGATCAACACACACAAAAGCAACAATCTCTGTTTTGTCAAATAGTAACCAAATAAATTTAACAAAATCAAACCCATACAAAATCTATGCCTGTGCCGATCTACAACCGCCCATTTCCAAGGGGTTGAGCCTTATGAGAAGAAAGGGCAAACAAACTCATGGCCACTCTTTTGCAATTCACAAGTAGATACAATGGCACTATTAAATATATCACAACATTGTTTTGATGTGTGCTAGTATGTCCGTTATTAAGGACTTAAAGGTGAAAAAACAACGAAGAGAAAACAAGATTAAGAAGAACAAACGAATACAAGAGAAAATGAAGTGAAACATAAAAAATAGAAAAAATAATAAAAAACATACTAGCCACACCACATTTTTACTTAAGAAAGAAATAGCCTGCGCTAATTAATCCCAAGCATTCTTGTCCTCCATGTAATCCACAATCGAGTAGTAGGCCCTCTGGCACAAGCCACGTTTTATTGCGGATTTAAATTTGTTAATACTCAACTCCTGAATATTATTTGGGATTTTATTATAAAATCGGACACATTGACCTCGAAAAGACTTGTTTATCTTTTGGAGCCTAGAGGCGGGTACAACAAATTTATTTTTATTTCTGGTATTTATGGCATGTACATCACTTTTTTTCAAAAAGCTATCTTTATTTTTGTGAACATATATTACATTTTCATAAATATATTGACTTGCCACTGTCATTATATTTATTTCTTTAAATTTCTGCCTCAATGAACAACGATTGCCTAAATTATAAAGTGCTCGAATAGCTCTCTTTTGCAGCACAAAAATAGTTTGAATGTCGGCAGCATTCCCCCACAGCAGAATACCGTACGACATTATGCTATGAAAGTAACTGAAGTAAACAAGTCGTGCTGTATCAACATCAGTCAACTCTCGGATTTTCCTTACTGCGTATGCTGCTGAGCTGAGTCTACTCGACAATTTATCAATATGTGGGCCCCACTGTAGCTTAGCATCTAGTGTTATACCTAAAAATGTCGTAGTGTCCACAAGGTCCAGCCCGACATCCTTCATTATCACAGTAGTTTTCACTGGCTTGACGTTTGGCATAGTGAAACGTATACAGTTAGTTTTTTGTTCATTTAATAGTAAATTGTTGACATCAAACCAATGAACCACTTTCGAAATGGCGCTGTTTACAAATGTGAAATCAGAAAGTGTCCGTTTTAGTCTAAATAATAGTGATGTATCATCTGCAAACAACACAATCTCGAGATTGTCCTTGACAAAGTGAGGTAAGTCGTTAATATATACTAAAAACAAAAAAGGGCCGAGAATAGAACCCTGTGGAACTCCCATTTCTATCACAGAGCCTGGAGACCGCTCACCATTAATATCAACTTTTTGAATCCTATTACATAGATATGAGGCAAGTAGTTCCAGGGCTTTATTTTTGATACCATAGTGCTGTAATTTCCTGATCAGCGTTTCATGAACAACACAATCAAAAGCCTTAGATAAATCGCAAAAGATACCTAGAGAATCGTGGGCATCCTCCCAGGCATCAAATATATGTTTTACTAGCTCAACACTAGCATCAGTTGTGGAACGACCCCTTGTAAAACCAAATTGTCTATTGTGCAATAAATTATTATTATTAAAAAAACTGTGCAATTGATCATAAATAATTTTTTCAAAAATTTTACTAAATACTGGTAGTACTGAGATAGGTCTAAAGTTAGTTGGGTCAGATGTACTACCAGATTTGAATAAGGGAATAATTTTACTAGTCTTCATAAGATCAGGAAATACACCACTATCAACACATTGATTAAATGTAAATGACAATTGATTAGCCACAAGAGATATAATTGTCTTAGTAATTAAAACAGAATTTCCCCATAGGTCGGTTGTTTTTTTAACATTAATAGTGTTAAAGGCTTTAATAATTTCAAAGGGGGACACATATTGGAACTTAAATTCACTATCAATTCTTCTAACATTCTCTTTTAAAATTGATTCTGCAAGGTATGGTGAGGAGTTCAAAGATTTAGTAGTTGATACAGGAATGTTAGTAAAAAAATTCTCAAATGCAGCAGCAACCTCAGCATTTGATGTGATAAATTTATTGTTTATGTTTAAATTAAATTCATTATCACGGTTTGGATCTTTGCCAGTTTCACTATTAATAATTTTCCAAGTGGTTTTAATCTTATCATTACTACTTTTAATCTTTGAACTAATAAAACGAGACTTAGCCAGTTTACAAAGTTTCCTAAACAGCTTCGAATATTCTTTAACATAATTATGAAACTGTTCACTTTTATTATAATTCCTCTCATCGTATAGCTCGTATAATCTTTTCCTACTTTTGAGTAAGCCAGGGGTAGCCCATTCACTAAATGTGGCGTTACCTTTAACCACTAGCGTTTTTGGTGTAAAAATGGTGTTAAATGTTGAAGAGAAAGTTTCAAAAAAACTATTATAATAAGTATTAGGGTTATTCTCTACACAGAGTACTGAATTATTAAAAGCAGCTTTAAGTTTATCCTTAAAGTTTTCACAACGCTTTGCGGTTTTAGGTATCACCACAATTCTTTTTTCTGACACTTTTTCATACCTATCACAGAAAGATACTAATTGACCACAGTGGTCAGAATGTAATTGATTGATTATTTTCTTGTCCTTAATAACAATATCTGTAAATATATTGTCCAAACATGTGGCAGTGGTGGCAGTGATTCGTGTAGGCTCCAAGAACAAGTTCTTCAGATTGTATGATTGAAAAAGTGCCTTGAACTTGGTTACTATACTTGAATTTTCCAATAGGTTAATATTGAAGTCACCACAGATGATGACCTTCTTTTTTGATCTTGTTACTTTAACTAATACTTCATCCATAACACGTTCAAAACAATCATACATAGCTGAAGGAGGTCTGTATACACATACTACTATGAAACCTTTTAGTTCTAAACAGGCTATTTCTGTAGTTCGCTCAACTGATAAACTAACAATGTCATGGCGCTCTTTAAATTTAAGTTTCTTATTAATGAGTATCATAGTGCCACCATGTATTGCTGTACTTCTGCTGAACGAGCTGCCTACCTGGTGGTGGTCAAAATTGAACATAAACTGATCCCCTTTTAGCCAGTGTTCAGTAATACAAAAAATATCAATTGCATTGCAGTTCATGAACAGTTCCACCTCCAAGTCTTTGCCCATCATTCCTCTAATGTTTTGATGCACCAAATTTATATTATTTATCATATTATTTTTAATAAATTTACTGTGATTGAACTTTCTATTAGTGATCAAATTAATATTGCAAGAGGTAGTCTCTATTGTCTTATCAGTAAATTTAAATTATTTGAAATGTCAATCTCATTATTATGTAAATCATTAGGTATGTCATTTAAATTTTTATTAATGTCTAAAGAAATATCTGCCAACGGATTGGCAAAGTCGCTATGGGTAATGTCAATTTGCTCAATAGAAGCAATAGTTTTAGCCAAGTTCTTGGCTGTAATGGAAAAATAATATGATAGCGAAATTGCTATCTGTCTCTTATAATAATTAGAAAGGTAATATCTACCTTTCGTCAATGAAATATTATTACTAACAAGCTTGTTAGTGTCGATTAGATGTAATTTATTACAATAGGGTCCATTTATTTGGCAAGTTAGGTTGTGCATCATTATATTTAAATTATATCTAACATTTCTTTCCTTCTGCGACAACCCTTTGCTAAGAGGAAGTGTAAACAATACAATTTTACAGGTAAAATTAGAGAAACATATCTCCCAGCATCCGTGTGGTGACGAATTAAGAATACCGAGTATCACAACTCTTATTACAACATTAAACATATGCAAACATATCATATCATGAAACATTAAAAATATGAGGATAAAATAAAATCTATTGTCAATATTTTTGGCAAGAGTAACCAGCTTTTAAAAGACAGAATAGAATTTTAAACTTTACGTAAAGTGATATAATACACACCAACAATTAAATTTTAATGACTTAGCACCCTTACAGGACAATCAAATCAATCATTATCATTATGCGCAAATATTTCATTACACATATTTAATTGAAATGCGAACTCATTAGTAAATGGGTGCAAATTAGACATTTTATCAAGAGATCTGCCTACTAACATACGGTTGTCCTTATGATATATTTCAAGTAAGCATTGCCGAACCTAACTTGACAAATATGAGAACAAAAGTACAAACTTCTTCACCTCGTCGGCACCACCCTTAAGTACAGGCGATTAAATTGTGAAAATCACTTTTAGATATATTTTTTTGTCAGTGAACTAACGAATAAAAAGTTTATAAAAAGTATTTTATTGTGGATCATAGATGTAAATAGGATGGTTACAGAACGATAAGATCAGCTCTGTCCTGCCATTTGGACATACCATTTTAAATAATAACTATAATTGAGAATAGATTATGTGATAAAAACACTTGAGCAAAAGATATTGTAATGTAAAGCTTTTGTTCTGCTAGTTACTACTGATAATTTATCGCAATTTTGGGCCCCGGTGCAAACCTCAAACAATTCTAGGTTAGTTGAACAAATATTGAAACATCATAAAAGATGATGGATTAGTAGGGATTAAAAAAAAATCTGCTGAAAAGCTCATGTTTTGGAAGATGTAAACGCGAATCAATGCTATGGGTTTACTGAAATATTGAATTGAACCTTTACCTAGATGCAATTGAAATATTCGATATTCAATATTGGGGTCAATATCTTGAGTTGCAGTCCATGAGCGACGGCAATCACTTACCATCAAGTGCCCAACTGCTCGTTTGCCCATTGATAAAAAGAATGAAAATTAACTTTTATGTTTTTTCTTTCTTTCTTTATATTTAGTTTGGGATCAGACGACCGTGTGTGAGATGCGTGATGTGTTTTTCATTATTATATAAAAAAATTGTTTTAAAAAACTAAAAGACACGCTTTCTATAGAAAACCAAACTAAGAAATAGAAAATAAATTTGAAAAAAAGTGTTGGGTGCCGGTTGTCAATAGTAAAAAGCACCATAGTAGAAAGCGTGTTTTATCGACAGCCTTTAATAGTCCACTGGTGGACATAGGCCTCTCCTTACAAAGGAGGTTTGGAAAGGAAAGCGTGTTTTATAGTTTTTTAATACTATAATTTTTTATTTTATTTTTTTAAATTAGTGTATTGTCATCGGTCCTCGATATATCTACAAAGTTTGAACGAATTCTGACCGTTTAAAGTCAGTCAAAATCACGCCCAAAGGAGTCGGTTACAAACATACAAGTGAAGCTAATAAAGCGTGTAAAAATAGCATAAATAAAAAATCTGATTTCGTACATAATGTTTTTATTTATCTTTTCTTAGTCATCAGTTGCATCTCCACTTTACATTAATTATTTAAGTAAACAACAACAGATGTTAACATTTTTTACAATAAAGGCTTATAGAAGGACAAGGACTTGGTATTCATGACTAATCCTTTCTTCACCCCCAAAGGCATAGTAACAAACGCCGTGGCTCGGTTGAATCTGAAATCATCAAATATTTAGGTGAAAATTTGTCATTAGAGTAGAAATTTCAAATCGGTTTTTGTATTTATATTCTTAGTAACTGGGAAATAACTATGTAAATCTTAAAATTTAATATTGTACCTACATCTAATTGTCGTATCAAAATAAACTTTATCTTAAAATGATCTGATGATGAAGCCATGCCAGCTATAAACTTCTTTATATTGGGACTTACTTCTATGTATTCTACTGAAAGGGATGTTTTTTTTCCTCACTCATCTTATACACGGCCGTCTGATCCCAAACTATGCACAGCCTGTGCTATAGCAACCAGACTGCTGATAAACATACTTATATATTTTTACACACATACATATTTTTAAACACATACATATTGTAGATAAATGACACCCAGACACAGGACAACTGACCGTTCTCATCACACAATATTTTTTCTGGGAATCAAACCCACGACCTCCGGCTTAGCAGTCAGCGTCACTAACCACTAGACCAACCAGCCTGTCGTCAATCAATCAATAAAATAGGCGCACAAATAGTAAAAGTATCACGTAATGAACACACAAAAAATATTCAGCAAATAGTCCTTTAATACAAAACAAAAGTCATCAGATCAGAGAGGTTCATTTTAGAATTTGATATTTTTGTTCTATACCTACCTAGTGGCGTATTAATTATTATTTAAAAAGACAACTCCCGCACTAGGAATATATCCTGTGTCGCGGGGGACTTTACAAACATACATGGAAACGGACACAAAGAACACCCAGACTCAGAACAACAATTTGTAGATCACACAAAGTGTGGGGATCGTGTGGGGATCGGACCCACAACACTCTGACAGACAGTGGCGGGGCGAGGTAGCGCGTCATTCTAGCACATGGCTACACACGAAGAGAAGCGTTTCCCTTCCCCGCTACACCACCCGCTACCCGCTGACATCTTGAGTACCTCGTCCCCGCCACCGTCTGTCACCCCGCAGGACGATCGCGCACGACGTTGATGGACTATAGTACGTAGCTTAAACGAATACGCCATCCGTGCAGTCGAAATTATTAATACTAAGGTTGCTGTGTATTTGTTAGCATTTTAACGTTATCTATTGTTGTTTAGTTAACAACTTACCTTGCCGGGGGTAATACCTCCTTCATGGAGGACTCTTCCAAAGTACAACTTCTCTCCATCAGCCGTAGATCCCGCTTCCAGAGCATCAGGAGGTACTAAACCGTCCTTTGAAAACTTCCAAGTAAATATAATGGACACTAACACCTGTAAGCAAACCATAAGATTATAGATTTGGGAATACAAGGATCTGAAAGTAGTTCATCAAAATTTTGTAACCGTTTAGGAGCGTTATCTACGTCACTAACAGGCCCCCTTTTTTTTCAGACCCCCCTTATATTAATTTAGTACATGTCATGTTAACGGCATTCATTTAAATTATTCGAGTCACCGTTGTGTCAATGCTCAACACCTGTCTCCAACTGTGAACAGTCTGCTCATCATATCCTCTTGTATTGTATTACATTACAAGAGGATATGATGAGCAGACTGTTCACAGTTCTTTGGGACTATGAGCGAAATATAATGTTTAATGGCTTACTGGTGACACCTGGGGCAGTATCTGTGAGGATCTTCTGTCATCTAGGGTAAATTTCCGCTCGTTTGGGCGATTCTGCCATACATATTATAGAATTTTTTAAATTTCCTTTGTATAATTTCGTTGCGGGTTTAAAGACAATTTAACTGTTCCTGGGATTTCCCGAGTATCATAACTCGATTTGTTCGAGGGTCACTGCTGTTGATCCAAGTGTACAGTCAAATAAAAAAAGGACCCCCCATATTATTGATGCTAGAAACCGTTATTCGTCACCTAAAATCATTTTTACCAACAACTACACTTAATCTGGATTCCCACCTTAATTCAAATACAACTAAAACTAAAATAATTAAACATAAGTACCTCGAACTCATCTTTGAGCACTTCTTCGCCGTCATAGCTTATATAACAGGCGGATTTGGAGGGGATAACCTTAGCAGGGAGGGTTGCACCCTCGTGGTAAGCGCGGCCTGCATAGATATCTGCACCGTCCGCATCAGTACCTACAAGTAGGGCGCCTGGGAGGATGCCGCGCTGCCTTGAACTGCTGGACACCCAACGGTAAGGAGCTGTAGTTACAGAAAAAGATTACGGTTATTGTAAAAAAACATTATTGTATGTGTTTAGAAATATTTTATAAAGTACATTATGAATAAAACGGTCAAAACTAAATGTAAATAATCATAACAAACTTGAATAAAATAAAAGTAGCACTAACCTGGCATTTCGACTTAAGCCTTAATTTTCTGTCGCCCAAAAGAGACTAAATCCATCCCAGTTAGGAAGCGCGTTTTATTGAAAATAAAACGAATTAGTCAATAATAACTAATTTAGGGTAATTTAGTATTTAGACAACTATACTATTTTTTTACTGTTATCTAGGTCTTTAAACTAGTTAGTAAACGTCTATTTTGTAAATTAATAATGAATAAATTAATGACAATAAAAAACAATTAGTTAAGTACTAAATACTCGATTACTTTGGTAATAATGATCATCACTAAATTACTTTCGTTCGTTCACGTTAAGAATGCAGTGAGTGGTGTTAAAATTGAAACAAATTTATTTTCAAAGATGAAGTTTAATGGATTTATAAAAATCGAATCAGGTAGTAATGATTTGAATCGTCACGGGGTGTGGCTAGTCCGGTGGTATTAGTCTGGTCGAGCTGGCTCATATGTAGAAGGATGCAGGGCCGTGTCTAGCACATTGGGGGCCCTGGGCACATTGGGGTAATGGGGCCTCTACGAGCCTCTACATTGGGCACGTGCCCAGAGTGCCCAGTGGGAAAAATGGGCCTAAAAGCATGGATCTCCAATGGTGGCTGTATAGTCAACAATACAAATTAAAACAAACATTTTTGAATTACATGATTACAATTCTAGTCACAGAGGTGTATATGCATACAGGATGCAAATTGATAAACATATGAAATAGGACATTTAAATCTTGCTATATAGCCGTAAGGTTCATGCGTAACACTTGGTCTAAGAGTATTTATACATTCGAAATTGTGATTTTGACATGGAGATAAACATTATGGCAGAAGAGGAAAATACTTTGGCGAACATTACATCTTGCGTCTTTTTAGATCTTTATCATATTCATCCAGAACTCAGAACTCTAGAGACAAAAAATAAACTAGATCATGTTTTGTTAAATTCTGACAGCGAAGAAGAGTTTTACCAGCCTTGATGACTGGCAGCCATAGTGACTCTCACTACATATAGCTCTGGAGGTAAGTAGGTCTGTATCTACACTCTCTGACAAGGAACTTACAATTATTGTAAGATTTGAATAGTATTTTATTATGATATAAGATATGATCACTTTTCCAGGCGCTACAATTCTTAAGTGTCTGTAGCATTGTTATAAGTTTTCTGTGTCCGAATGAAAAAAGTAAAACTCAAACCTTCCAACCTTCAACAAAAGAGCGTACTCCTTCCTGAAACGACGGCGGTAGTCGCTTTCCATCAGCTGACCTGACTGCTCGTTTGCCCCCTATTCCATGAAAAACAAAACTCATATATGATCATACGAGCGTCACAGACGCTAACAAGTTAAAATCAATTCAATACAGACTCCTGAGACGTATAGTAGATATTGACCATTAACCTTCATGGTACTAAAAGTCTATACAGTAATCGTTTCAATGCTAGGTATGGTACTGTCAAAACTAGAGATACATACACATATGCTTTATTCCTGCTCGGGGCAGGCGTAATTTCTGCATTTTTATGCATTTCATACATGCTCACTGGTTACGGGTGCTTTCAACAAAGCCCATCCTCAGTACACTGTCGATACGCTGAGCATATGTCTTTCTGGGCCTGCCAGCACCGTCTTGGCTCCTCAGAGGAGCTTCATAAATTCTTTGTTATTCGCTCATCGCTCATTCTTTCAATCATCATCAACTGACTCCTGAGAACAGCTTAATTTATTATGATCTGCAAATATTTGTTTCGGAGTTCGGGTAGTTTCTATGTATAATATTTATGTATTTACAAAAAAAAACATTGTATTCTATCAGTCAATCTAGCTTTCATAGTACAAACTCTGCTTACTTTGAAACTAGATGGCGTTGTGTGTTACACGTCAAGATTACGATTATAGTAAATAAATATATTTATTTTTTGATAATTATCTACTTCGAATCGGACGGTATTAATTTGATAATTAATCGATAACTAATGCTAATATCTCGTTAAAGTTCACTAATAGAACTAAACATATTTATAATTGTTACGAATTTTAAACAGCATTTTTGGATAAGACAGAAACTAACTATTTAAAAACAGAAGTGAAACAAATTATAGAAATTGACATGAGCCTTAAAAACAATGGTCTGGCCAATTTGAGAGAAACACAAGCCAATTTGAAAAAATGTCCCAAAAAGGCTCTCCACATCCTGTTGTGTCATCTGTTCTCTCATTATCAAGAGGGGGTCTCTAAAAAATCATTTCTGTTTTCAGGTGTAGTGCCCACGTTATTCACATAGCAGTTTTCAAAGAATGGCCAAGTCCCTTCTGGTGCTGTGAAAGCCGCTAATCCTGAAAATCCTGATCAGCCTAATTCAGATTCGGCCAAATTTATCAAATTATTGTGTTGTGATCCGTCCTTGATAAGTGTACGAAGTTTTTAATGTAATTCGACGTTAAGAAGTGGGTCAAGGTCAAGTTCGAAGATTCCGTTACATACATACATACATACATACATAGATAAATACATACATACCAAGCTAAAAAAATGTGCTAAAAAAACACTATTTTGACTGACCAATTTTTTTCAATACATTTTCCTCAACACGTGGTATTTAATTCAGTACCTATCTTTACTTATCAAAAAGTAAAGACAACAACTTAAAGCAAAAACTTTAAAAAGGTATCCTGTGTATATCTTATATTCTTGCATTTTTTTTGCAATTTCAGCCCAAAATAGAACTTAATAGATACATTAAAAAACTGATTGATTCGTATCTTTGTTTATAGATATGAATCAACAGTATTTTATAAATATATATATGTTACCGCCTTAGGTATTCTATACAATACCTAGGTAATGTATAGAATACCTAAGGCGTGTAGGCACTGTATGAAATATTATTTTTCATTATATACTTTACCTAGGTATACAATTCCTAGGTATTGTATAGAGTACCTGCTGATCCACCGGCAATGTGTAACATAACTATATTTGGGCCTGTGTTTATCAATGTTATGTAAGTAAGTAGGAGGGTATAAAATGACAGACAAAAATAACGCATTAGATTTGCTTAAAATAAACTTTATTAAAATTAACATTTAGTAAGTAGTTAGTTCTGATTAAAAACGATCTTTATTCAAAGGTAAGTATTTATGGTAAAATCAAAATTAAATAACATGGAACTTAAAATTCTTCTGGGTTAACTAACATTATCTAATTTACTCATAAGTAATCAGTTAAAAAACTTAGGCAACAAAACAATTCTGTAAAAATAGGAAGTGACCTAGCTGGCTTCTCAGAATTAAGTAAGTAAAATTTATTTATTTTTACATGAAGAACTATTGTGACATTTTAAAGTGCATAAAATCTTTCTTTTAAGACATGAACGCTTTTTAGTATCACAGAGATTTTTTAAATGTACATTTGACAAATCCCTCGGGGCGTCGTTTCTTTATTAGGGACATCTTTCTTAAGTAATTCTTGATGACAAACTATAAACTGCTGTCTTGAACACAACGTCTTTACAACACCTTGCTTTGTTTGTAAGACTACAGCTAATATATTGCGAGCATCACCGCGACCTCTGTAGACTTCCGGAACAGGGATTCTAACAGTAGTACCTATTGGCACAGGAGGAATTTTTGTCCCAAAGGTTTTTAGCATTTTCTCAGCTTGCTCTTTTAAATTTTCTTTAGAACGCACAGGTTCACTAGCGTAATGATATGCAAACAAGTAGCAACGCGTTTACTGCCCTGCCCGCACTCTTCCTTCCCTGCTATCGTCTTTTACACAGATTGCCGGCAGCGCATTCGGTATTGTATAGAATGCTTCTTCTTTATCCTCGCCCTATCCCATTTTAATTGGGGTCGGCTCTCCTAATCAATCTTCGCCAGGACGTTCTGTCCTGGGTCGTCTGCGGATCTATTTGGGCCGTTTGCAGATCTTTTTTTATGACTGATTGCCATGTTAAACGGGGTCTTCCTCGTCCTCTTGGTCCGGTTTTAATTTCAAGAACTCTCTTGGTCATGTGATCTTCTGGCCGCCTCATGACATGCCCGTACCACCTCAGTCTACTCTCCAGCAGCTTTTCTGGGATTGGCCTGACTCTAAAAGTGCCGCGGATGTGCTCATTCCTCACTTTGTCCAAGCGCGTGACGCCACCAGACCATCTGAGCATTTTCATCTCGGCGACATGCATCTGGTGTTCTTGCTGCTTCTTGAGCGGCCAGCATTCCGAACCGTACATTAGGGCTGGTCTTACGGCAGTTTTGTAGATTTTACCTTTGACTGGTACAGGCATTCTAGAGTCACACAGCACACCCGTCAGCTCCCTCCACTTCATCCAGCCAGTGTTGACGCGGTTGGAGACGTCGAGCTCTATGGTGCCGTTGCTCGACAGGATAGAGCCAAGGTATTTAAAGAATTCTACCCTATTGAGTGGGGTGTTCTGGAGGTGTATGGTGCCATGTGTTGAGTTGGAGAAGTTACAGTGCATATACTCAGTCTTCTGTCTGCTGACTCTCAGGCCAGCATTTTCCAAAGCACTGCGCCATTGTTCTAGCGTGATCTGTAACTCCTCCACATCTTCACTAATGAGGGCTATGTCATCCGCGTACAAGATGTTCCAAGGGGGCTTTTTCTGCAGGTCAGCTGTGATATGTGATATTGTATAGAATGCCTAAAATGAAAAATATTTCATACATTGCCTAAACGCCTTTGGTATTCTATACATTGCCTAGGTATTGTATAGAATACCGTATTATACAGATTGCCGGTAACATATATATGTATTGTGAGTGTCAAATTTCTACAAGACACTTTAAATGGTCCCGTACCCTCTGTTGACATCCCTGACATTATGTCAAGTAGTTATAAAAAAATCTTTAGCAACGAAGTTGATACTTTAAAAGTAATTTATCCTTCGAGATTTTAAACTATAACTATATATCTCCAATGGACTTTTTTACGTGTGTCCAATGCAATAAATGGCGTCTGTAGCTGAAGCAGTTGTGGCACCAGAGGAAGGCCTTTTATTATATTTTAATAGTTCGATAATCGGTTTTATAATAGGACAGTCGCTTTCACATATTTTTAGAAGTCAATAATATATGCATGCTCCCGTGTAAAACGGGCAAAAAGATTATTATAATAAAATATTACTTTTAATAAATCGCGATCGAAGAGAAAGTAAGCTAAGAAATGAAGACCACAGATTGTAACTAAATGTCAAGATCACTTTTTTGGTCGTTTCGTTCACAAGATTCACTAACTTTATCATTTGAAACTGCCTTTAAGATTTTTTATGATTGTTTTTGTTCTTTTTTTGTCTTCTACGAGTATGTTAGATAACTAAGCATGCGGGCAAATGTTGTAGCAATCGGTGTTGCATACCTTTGGGTATCTCGACGTTTCGGCTTTGTTGCACTGCGGGTGAAGGCTAGTCGTCTCTTGGGCTATTTGTTGTTGTTGAGCATGATCCCTGTTGTGTAGTCGCGTCGAAGACCCTTCGCAGCAGCATATAGCATGTTATCCTGTGTGCACTATTGTTGACCTTATACTATGTGCATTTTATTTTTGATTGAAAGTGGTTGTATTGTACTAGTTTGTACTAGATATAATTAAACGGGACTGTTGGTCTGACTGCTAAGCCGGAGGTCATTGGTTCAACTCCCACCCAGGACAAATATTGTGTGAACAGCACATTCATTTGTTCTGTGTCTGCGTGTAATTTATCTGTAATATGTATGTATTTAGAAATATTTAAGAATGTTTATCAGCTGATTGGTGACCGTGGGTGAGATGTGTTAAGTTAGAAAATTATGAAGTTATTATAGTTTTTTATATTTACAACTACCTGTACGTTATGGTTTAGAAATAATTAACAAAACAGAGAGAAGAATTGTTTTAGATAAAAGAAACCTGTCTTCTTGCCTTTCAACTTCTTCTTCTTTTCCATCTTATCGAATACCTATATATTTGAAAATGTATTCCTATTGGATGAAAGTTGGTGTGATCTTCGAACAGATTACCCGAGTTCAGGTTATCTTTGATTCATTTTATCTCCGGGACATAGAATTGACATATTCTCAAGGAGTTTTCTTTAAAAAACTTCGTCTTATATCTTCTTATAGTACATTAATTACTTAAGGTGTTGCAATTTTAGGCGCGTACCTAGTCGCCATATTAAATAAGTTTTAATGAGTCACCAGTCACATCTTTTGTAATAAAATACGATATTGAAATGGAACTAAGTTAGTCTCTTTCGAGCAACAGCACCGTCGACATGGCAGGTTAGTGATAACGATAAGATACCCGGTGATAACAAAATTACACCTGTAATAATGCCTCATAGAATAATCTAGTCATTTGTGACACAGTTCTTATTTTCCTGTACTTTCTAATTTTCCCGATTGTTACCTTTCTAAAGCTATTTTTGTTTGTTGTGACGATCTCTGCTGATTGACACGGCTGTATTTTGTAATAGTATTTTACTCATTCACGTGAGTAAAACTTGACAAGTAGTAAAATCGTCAATACATTTTTTTTTGCATCTGTACGTCAGTCCGAGCGTTAAATATTTCTTTTAGATAATAAATTATTGTTTATGCTTTCATATTCTATAACTATGTGTTGTATGTTATGATTTCGTAGGTATATAAATTCACTGTTACTAGTATATTGTAGTTGAGTTTAAATGATGAAATTACCTGACAAATAATGCAGCTACTTGAGTGATAAACAAGTTTTCATGTAAACTGTTGGTGTTTAAACAATTGTCATGTTAATCAAATAACGCGCTGCATACTTTTGTTTTAAATACTTAGGCAATGCGCTGCAGTGAAACGAATTATGATTTGCCCTATTTTCTGAAACACCTATCGTGAATATGATTACTCACTGAATTATCCACAATTCCACGTAACAATTGTATTTAGCTGTTGCTGTTACTGATAAGATAAATTATGTTTAAAAACTTTGAGGAAATTGGAAATGATGTTAATCGATAAAATCCGTATCTATATTTAATATGTGAACACATTTCCTTGTACACCTTTTTTTAAATAAGGCGCACAGAACCTTTTCATATTTGGAAGACTTGTTGTCTAGTAATATATTATGTTGAAAGTCTATAAAATGAGAGTTCTATTAATACTAGAATATTATGAGATGAGAGTTCTATTAATACTATTTGGAATAAACAAGAAATTGGAGTCCCTCTCGCTGACTCGAGTGGGCGGGACTCCAAGGGCGGCAACGCACTTGTGACTTGTCAGTTGCAGGTGTCCATTGGCGGCGGTAGTTGCTTACCATCAGGTGACCCGTCTGCTAGTTTGCCCAGTTATACCATAAAGAAAAATAGTTGAAATTCGACTGCCTATCGATCTTTATCAACACTTATAAGACAATTAATTAATTTTTGACGACCGGATGGTGTAGTGGTTTGTGTAACGGACTGCTATTCCAAAGGTCGCGGGTTCGATTCCCGCTCAAGTCAAACATTTGTGTGCATGAACATTTAATGTTTGATTTGGTCTGGGTGTTTCTATGTATAATATGTATCTATTTACAAAAAAAAAGTATATATGTATTTATATCAGTCGTCTAGTACCCATAGTACAAGCTCTGCTTAGTTTGCGACTAGATGGCGTTGTGTGAATGTGGTAGAATATTATTATTATTATAATATTACTCTACAGTATGCATATGTACCATAGTACGAGTATAAATCAAAAAATATAATTGAGTACCTATCTGTTATATCATTATTATAATTTATCTATACTAATAATTAAAATTGAAGTGTCTGTTTCTAATGTCAAAATAATAGGTTTGCACGATACCTATGCCTAGATAAATTACACCCAGACACAGAACAAATGATCATGCTCATCACATAATATTTGTCCTGGGTGGGAATCGAACCCACGACCTCCGGCGTAGCAGTCAGGGACACTAACCACTCGACCAACAGGCCCGTCAAATCAATCTGTTATATCATTATTATAATTTATCTATTTTCTATACTAATAATTAGAATTGAAGTGTCGAGCCGACTAAGGGAACAAACTACGCAGGACAACAGCACTGCAAAGAGAACGAAAACCTGAAGCAAACCCTACACCAACCCGTCTGGCCAGCGTGGTATAGTAGGCCAAAGCCTCCTTTCTAAGGAGAGCCCTACGTTCAGCAGTGGACTATTAACAGCTGTTGATGATGATGAATTTTGGGACAGTAATTATATATACACGTGCGAAGCCGCAATGGATACAGTCACAATAAAGTAATGACTCTTGAGCGGAGTCACAGTCGATTTTTATTTATTAACGAATAGGCGTCGAAGGAGGAAAATTCACGAAGATTATTTTCTAAAGACTTGTTATCTCTTTGTTTGCTTCAGCCACGGTTTCTTGTCTTGCTTAGAAATGCGTTTCTCAATATAACAAGAACGTCAGTCAATTCAGAGGTATATAATACCTATTATACGATCGTATTATTGCCTTAGGTATACATAATAATAATAATAACCTCACACATTTCACACAAGACCGTGTAATTCCAAACTGACGGGGCCTGTACTATAAATATAATTATTTATTTCTAAATAGCTACTGCTACATACTTATTTTAAATGAATTTTCATTTAGTTTATAGTTATAAATATATGATATATTGACGTTCTTAAATCTCTGAATATGAACAATGTTGTAATTAGATGCCTAAAGTATGTAATTTATAAAATGCCAAGAGGCCCATAATGAAGAAGCTATGCTACATTATTATATCACAATAATCATTTTACCTACCCATTTTCGCAATAAAGTAATTTGAATTTGAATTACACTCAGACGCAGAACAAATGTTTGTTCTGACAACACAGTTATTTGTCCTGGGTGGGAATCGAACCCACGACCTCTGGCTTAGCAGTCAAGATCGTCAACTACTAGAACAACGGGCCTGTACAAAATTATATAACGGCAGACAAGAATATTTTTTATATAATATAGATATGGAATCGATATCCGTTTTTTAGTGATTAGCCATTACTTAATGAGTAATTACCATTTATTAGTCTTCATTACGAGGTTGACAAATTACACTCATTAATTTTTTTAAATTATGAAGGATTTTTGAGCAGATTACGTGTTAACCCTTCGATGTTGCATGTGTACTTAAGGAGAACGTTCTAATATAACCCTGCAGATGTCCGTAGCAAAAAAAGAGGGTTATTGCCTGCTTGGGCCGCAAAACAAACGCCAGGCTTAACAAAATAGCCGTGCTTCTTAGACGCGTCAGTGTCACTCAGATCCATTCAAATATTTTGATTTGTCAAAAATAAATATTTGGATTTATAAATAACGAGATACAGATTTACATATATATTCTCTTTCAGAAAATATACGAATCAAATGAATACTGCCAAAAAAAATATTTATTGTAATTTTTTTACTTTGAAGATGTTACTGCCTACAAATATTCACGCCTGTAACTCAGAAGGGCAGGCAATAAAGTATTGAAAATGTATAATAATATATTGTAACTATAGTTTGATACCAAACACGTAATACTCGTACGAGACAACTTTACACTCTTTGGTGATTATGGATTTCATAATTAGGGGAACATAGAAAGGGAATATGATTTAATAAAAGAAGGCAATCGCTGGAAATAAATATTAATACGGCTTTTGTAAAAGGTCGCGGGTTCGATTTCCGCTCATGTGAAATATTTATGTGCATGAACATTTAATGTTTGATTTAGTCTGGGTGTTTCTATGTATAATATGTAAATATTTATAAAAAAAAAGTATTTAAGTATTTATATAAGTTGTCTAGTACCTGTCCGCTTAGTTTGGGACTAGATGGCGTTGTGTGAATGTAGTAGAATACTATTATTATTAATATTATACATGAATAAATGCGATCACATAACAAATAGTACATATCTTTGGATTGCCTGACGTGACGTGCCTGTAGCCTATTCAATTAACCAACTACCTATTACGTGATGACGTTAATTTCCGTTACACATGTATATATATGCTATACATATGTATATAACATGTAGTACGACCGTATACACGTTAATATAGAAAGGGAAATGGCTTATACGAATGAGTTGAAGAACGTAGATAAGAACTCGGATAAGTCTTCGTTACTTAGCAGTAATTTAAACTGGCTTTTATCGGCATTCCGAGATTTCCAGCTAATCGAAGTTACAAGTTGTTTAAATGTAAAAGTAATTAGGTACTAAGAAGATTTCCCTCCCTCTGCTTTCTAAGCAGGATAGGCTTCTTCTATTCCAAAACTCTAGAAATCGTCGTGTCTTATGACAAATAATAAAATCTAAATGTAAGTTTGCCCCAAGCCACACCTATCGGCAATTTGTTATCCTTAAGTAACTGATTATTATTAAAAGATAAATATGATTACACAAGACCACGTAGAGTATTTCATTGAAAGCTGGTAATAGTTATTATTTTATCAAATCAGAGCAAAGTAAATGTATACAATACATGAAAACGGTAGCTCATGAACTTTTTCCAAACAATTATTTTTTCACTCAACTAATGTGTATGCCACATTAAATACTTCACTGCATATGTTTTATGGTATGAGCAACATTTTACTGCCCCCTGTGCTCCTTCAGTATTAGGAGGAGGGAATTCAACCTCCGTTATTATATTGCAACGACGAGCAACGAATATTTGTTCCCCTTCGGTAAAAAGCAACGAATATTTGTTTTATTCGCCCCTGCTTCTAACTTCTTTAGAACACACAACAAACATTTAAAAAACACTCAAATTAAAAAATACCTGTGGTTAATATTACAATACCAGAAAATAAATTTCAAGAACACACAGAAGCAAGTAATGATAAAAACAAAACTTGTTAAATTTTTGTAGATTTTAGTAAGATGTAAAACGACTTTACCTGTCCAGGTCGACCCTATTACGGTTATGGCAACCAACCACCACCCCCACACGGTTACCCCCCCGGTCCTCCGGGATCTGGAGGCGGTTTTCCACCGCACATGTATCCGGGAGGGATCATGTTCTACCCTATGCATCCCGCATACGTCTACCCCTACCCCGTACAGCCACCCGCTGGAGACGAGGTGTTGGTTGCTGATAACAATTTGCCAACATTGCCTGGCGAAACTGTCGAGTTGCCTTGGAGTAAGTCTGGATTGGGTTTTCAGGAGGTAGCACCTTTCGACTTTCATTAAAATCAGTGTTCCCGCCTGGGTTTAGGCATCAAACCATTTAATAATTAGATTTTATATCAAACACGGATTTCCATTTATATAAAAAAAAACATTTATTTATGTATTTAAAAGACACAAGATATCAAAAACATCGTTAATCTTATCCACGAACGTTGTCCATCGATAAAAACTCATGATAAAATTGCTAGCTTCAATAAATTGCTTATTTGCTTTTAATGGATAAAATTATTTTCTTATTAATCATTTGTATTTGCTTCATTGTGTAACGTCTGTCTTATGTAGGAGGTGCTATCTCTAAGCAGAAGCTTGGGTGTGTCAAACGGCAATGTTGGGCCAATTCTCTATATGGTGACTGCCTACCAAATAGAACTAATGCCAATCCAGACTTACCTTTTTGTAATTAGATTTAATTTTCCCTAAAAATATTATTTTATAGACGTATCATTATTAATAAGTGACTTTTGACACATGCATACAGAGTTTTGGCCGTAACTTTACTGTTGTGTTGTCTTTCTCTTTAAATTTAAGAATAATTTTCAAATAGATGTCACTTGTGGCCTTTGATAACATCATTCACTTCATAAAATACTCATGAAAGCTAAAAGCTTTGTGATTGAGAAATCCAACCACATTTGATTGACACAAATTGTTTTGTTTTTTCAATGCTTCAAAATGTTTATTTATTTATTATTTTTATACACAAAAAACATGTACAAACTATTCATAATATTAGTCTGGGAAACACTAAGGCAAGCTTAACCCATAGTTAAGGTCTCTTCGTATTGGTCCCAGCAAACTTCGGGAGTGAAAGAAAGTCCTGTGTACGTAAAAATTGTAAGAAAAGTAAAATAATTGTAATTGTATAATACATTTTTGTACTTTTTTGCTAACATTTATCAAAAAAAAGTTATAAATACAAGCTAGTTTTGAAATTAATTTATATTTTGCAACGTAATACAAGAATTTACAAAGTTTTTATAGCTTTAGGGTTGTGTTTGTTATATTTCTATCGTGCAGTTTCATTTTATTATTGCTTACTACTCAAGACATGTTACTCTTCGAAGTAAAGAATTGTTAATACATTATTTCAAAATGTATACTATAAAAAGCTCTCCACTATACTCCGTCACTTTTATCAATCAATTTCACAAAACATTTATATACTTATTGAATATCATATTCATTTAAAAATTCAATGATTCCAGGCACATACCGTTGGGTTCCGGCTTGCTTGAGCCAGCGCAGTATTCCTCCAGGTGCACTGCGCGTGGGCACCGATGAAGATGGTTCAGAGATCTATGCTGGACGCGCTCCGCATGAAGGCGATATATTGCCCGCAAAGGTCATCCCCTCAAAGGAGGCCTGCTACGTCTGCTATGGCGGGGAGGAAATACCCAAAGATCAGTTTGAGGTACGCATTTAATTGGTAGCAATTGAGACTACATATTTAAGGTGGCCAACGCTAGGAAATCTACTAATCTCGAGACGTTTAGTTTCACGTTTAGTCGATTCGAGACTGAATCCAGGTTAAGCAAATATGATATAATGTTTCTGTCAACATCACTAAGATTAGAAAGAAACGGAGGCTTAAAATCCGCAACTATTATTCTTATACAAACCCTTATGTACAAATACTATTCCGTAGCAAACTGAATACCGTGAGCATTTTAGATCACACTTTTATAACTGAATTTGATATTTGAAAAGTTTGAATTAATTGTTATATCTATCTGAATCTAAAAAAATTTGAAATATTAAGCTGGGTGTGTATGCTTCAAAAACTCAAAAAATTCGGCAACAAATTTCGATACGATGTACAACAAACCGCTTCAAATACTGTTTTTATCTTATTCACGACAGTTGCACAGTTAGTGTCCCTGACTGCTAAGCTGGAAATCGTAGGTTCGATTCCCACCTAGGACAAATAATTGTGTGACGAGAAATATTTAAGTATGTCTATTAGTAGTGTGGTTATAATAGCAAAGACTCTGCCTAATTTGAAATCAGAGTGCCGTGTGTAAGAAGTGTTAACTTATAATTACTATTATTAATTTACCCAACAACTGTTTTCAGGTACTAGTTCCTGCGATGTTCTCGTGGCAGTTTTCCACCAATGGCCAGGTCCCTCCTGGTGCTGTAGAAGCAGGCCAGACAGCTGATGGGGAGAAGCTGTACTATGGCCGAGTTACACATGATGGATGCACTACACCTGGAAAGGTAAGATCTCCAAGACATAAGGTAAAAGATTTGACTGCATGAATGGCGTAGTGGTTAATCACTGCTTCCTACTGCACTGAGTCTAGTGGACTACATCCCTTTGTATAATATACGAATTGTCGTTCTGTGTCTGAGTGTTCTTTGTGTCCGTTTCATGAATGCTTGTAAAGTCCACTGCAACACGGGATATATTCCTATATGCGGGAGTTGTCTTTTTAATATAATAATGACGCCTGAATCATTTCCTTTCATGTTTCAGAAGCTAGCATATCACCTTACACGTAATGAATTTTCGGTACCTCGTGAACAGTAGTTTTTCTTTTGTATGATGAATACGATCGTTTATTCTGTGTCTGCGTGTAATTATCTATAATATGTATGTATTTACAAATATATAAGTATGTTCATTAGCAGTCTGTTTATCATAGCATAGGCTCAGCCTAGTTTGCGTTTAGACAGCCATGTGTGAGATGTCTGAAGTTATTTTTATTGTTCTGTGTATTTTCTGTACTATTAACCAGTTGAATGTAAGTTTTTATGATGATTGGTTAAGTATTTAAGGCATATAAAGTGTAGCAAATAAATAAACTCATTTGCTCATTTTTATATTTTTTAGGATTTAAATACTTCCCTGTCAATAAATACGATTTACTGTTAGTCATGAAAGTTTTGTTTAAAAAAGCTTTTACTCTTATGAAGACCTCTAGATAACTTTCTAAATTCCGGGTCTGTTCACGTGGAAGGATTTAATAATAACAACTTACACATCTCGAACACGGCAATCTGGTCCCAAACTAGGCAGAGCCTGTATTATGGTAACCAATCCGCTGATAAACATACTTATAAATTTGGAAATACAAGTATACTTACACAATATAAGTATACTCAAGCATAACTATGAATAATTTCTCTAATAATTTCTTTTTTAATTTACCATATAAGTAATGAATATAATATTTCATTTGCGTTATAGAATATATTAACGCATCCATCAAGCCCCGCGTTAGGAATAAAATTTTCATTGATTTAATCATTTTTTCAACTAGAACCAATACGTCCTGAGATCAAAACAACAAACAAAGAAACATACAAACAAACTCTTCACATTTTTGTGTCTGACGTACGTCTATTTTAAGAATTAAGAAAGATTTATTCATACACTACACACAACACAACAACTATAAAAACTTCATAAACATTGTTTACTGAATTTCAGATCCAACCGAGCCACGGATGCTGCTACTATCCTTTCGGAGGCGAGGAAAGAAATAGCACCGAATACGAATGTCTCGTACTCTTCTAAAGTCACAACAAATGTTGACAAATATATTTAAATAGCTCAAGCTAATGTTAATTTATATTTTCATAACTAAACAGAAATCAAAGGAATCGACAGCAGTGTTGTAATAATAAATACAAGATTTCATCATTGTACAGTAATAATGGTTTACATTATTCTGTTGTGGTTTTTTATAAGCATGCCAATGTTAAGTTGAAATAAAAATACTTTAGTAAATATGAAATGTTGTATTCTTTTTCATGTTTAAAAACTATCGATTATGAGATATATGTATAGTATCATTACTGACGCAAGATAATTTTGGTTTTCATGATATAAAAGGGCAAACGAGCTGACCGATTCCCTGATGGTAAGTAACTACCGCCACCCATTCGTTAAGAACCAATGAAAGAATTGCTGGACATCGGTTTAATACGAAGCCTCGGTATAATTTCCTTCGAGACTCAAAGGGCTAAGTGCGAGTTTATTTTACTTCTACTCGACGGTCACGGTGAGCGTATATTATAGCGTATATTATATATTATTGCAACAATGCGGCATGCACTGAAATTTTCACCAATCGCAACGACGGACGCGCTCGCTGTCGAGAGCCAGTTGATGTGAAATAAAGTCGCTCTTGGCCCTCAGATCATACAAGTTCATATAATCTGAGGAGCCGAATCATTTGTGCCGAAGCGCACAATATCTCCCATTATCAAATATCTCTGTATAGTATCATTGCTGCCGCATTGTGGCAATAATATAATCAAAATTACAAGTTACATGCTTAATTTTGATTAAACAAATGCATGCCTTTAATAAAGCTTTTTGCGAAAAGATTATTAGTGAAAATAGTGATGAAATACTACCACATAATGCACCCTGACAAATCAGGCTGAAAGCTTTCGTACAAAGCCATAATTTTTTGGAACATGATTGGTCATAGGCATACCAAGAAGTCGTAAGAACCTAATTTTTATTGAGTTTAGTTTTAATTTAAAAATCAAAACATTTAATAATTTTATATTGCATGTTTTTAGTCAAAAAATATCATTAAGTTTCACTTTGAGCGCCAGACGAAAACAGAATAATGTAAATAAAAATTACAATATTTTATATAAAGTATATGTATTTTATGTGTATTTATATCTATATATGTATATGTGTGTATGTATGTGTGTAATTGTATATGTTAGTTATAACTACTATAGCAACTGCACCTCAGTGCACCTTCCTCACCTAATTTCTACACCCCCCAAAGGTTGGCTGGTAGAGAATGCCTTGGGCATTAAGCTCGCCTTTGTACAGAAGTGCATAAAGTTGTTAATAAATAAATATTTATATTTTTTAAAGTATATATTTCATAATTTTTCTTTCAAAGGTTGTATGTATGCGGATAAATAGATAATGATTTTCAAATATTCATATTTCTCAATCTGAAAAAACGAGCAAAGAAAAGAGCAACTACAGTTTTTGGTCAGGAATATTAGTTTAGGAAAATATAGGATCGGATTCGAATCACGACATCAGAACGGATTCCCAAACATTCTTTACAATTAAATATACAGCAATAGTCCACTGCTGAACGTAGGCCTCCCCTTAGAAATGAGGTTTTGGACTACTATAGCACGCTGGCCAGACGGGTTGGTATAGGGTTTGTTTCAAGTTTTCCTTCTCTTTGCAGTAAAGTTCTCCTGCGTAGTTTTCAGGGGATGAATAGTAATGGTGACACTCAGTATTCTTAATCACATCTCACCACACGGATATACAACGGGATACAACAATTGAAAATTAAACATTTATTGAAATACTATCAGAAACTTTCACATACTGCGCTGATGTATCTATTGGTCGCGGATCTATCACTAACACTCGTAGATGTGATTGGTGGAATGATAGATTAGTCGAACTACGTAGAAGCTACCGGAAAGCTCGTAGAAAATTAAACAATTTTAAAAAACACAACGTAACAGGAGATTTGTACAATAATGCTCTCATTGCTCTTAGAGTTGCCAGGTCCCACTACAGAGCTGCAGTGGAAAAATCGAAGGGAAACTTAATTCAGAAACTTGTCGATAGACTCGATAGAGAGGGCCCGTGGTCACCTTTGTATCACGAATTTAAGGCAAATAGATCAATCGACCTTGCATACATACAGAACATCAAAATTAATAACAGATATACCACAGGAGTAGAAGAAACAGCAGAATATCTTTTAGAATCACTCGTACCTGACGATCGGCCGGAAAACGACACTGATCATCACCGACAGATCAGGCAGTGGGCCATCGAACCACCACTGTCTCCAATGTCTGATTTACCATCTTCAGACGAATTTCTCGGTATCATTAGATCCTTGCCACTAAACAAGGCTTCGGGCGATGATAAAATATCTAACAAAATGATCAAAGAAGCTTGTAAACTTTCGGGTGACACGATTTTCACTGTCTTTAAACGTTGCATTGCTGAAGGAATATTGCCTCGTATATGGCGGTGCGGTAATATTCGTATAATACCAAAAAGTGGCGACAAGCCACCGGATGATCCTAAATCCTACCGACCAATCACATTGTTACCATCGTTAGGAAAGCTTTTAGAACGTCTTGTAGTGCCCCGGCTTCTGCCAGGTGGAGTCAAATTTCATGATAGACAATTTGGATTTACGTTGGGTAAATCGACAACTGACGCTGTTATATCGGTTAGAAAGTTTGTCACAGAGTCAAAATTTCAATACGTGCTGGCTATTTTCTTAGATATATCTGGCGCCTTCGATAACGCATGGTGGCCCATGCTGTTGTTGAAATTAAAATCACGGGGGTGCTTTAAAAATATTTATTCCCTTATATCTTCGTACTTTTCACAAGGTACTACTAAACTAAGACTTGGTCATCATTCTGTGTCGAAGGCGCTTACAATGGGATGTCCTCAGGGATCGGTGCTAGGTCCATACTTGTGGAATATCGGCTTCGACGATTTTCTTGCGATACCAATACCATCCGGATGTACTCTGAACGCGTATGCTGATGACGGCTTATTACTGGTGGAATCTGATACTAGGGCGGGGCTTGAGAGATTAGCCAATAGATGTTTGAACTTGATATCTCAATGGGGTGAACGTAATCGCTTAAATTTTGCACCCAACAAAACCTTCCAGCTACTTTTAAAAGGTAACCTCAAATCACCGCCAAGCATTAGATTTGACAATGTTACTGTAAAAAATAAGGCCTCAGTGTGTTACCTAGGATTAGTTTTAGAAAGAAACTTTTCATTTATCGAACATATTAAAATAGTTAATGAAAAGTCTAAAAAGAGTTTCTGTGCATTGACAAGGATATCAACTGCGACATGGGGTCTATCATTTAATACATTAAAGATCATATACGGAGCTACTTATTTAGGTTCTATGTGCTATGGTGCACCTGTATGGGCCGATAGGGCGACCGTAGGCGCTGTCCGTCGCAAACTGTTACAAGGCCAACGACTTGCACTGATATTCTTGTGCAAGGCATATAGGACGGTTAGCACCGAGGCTTTGCCGGTGTTGGCGGGTGTGCTTCCGGTCGATCTCGAAGTGCAGAGACGTGCATGGAATGCGATTTTTTGGGCGCGCGGGATCGCGGTGAAATTACAAGATTGCTTCAACAGCAGTCCGATGTCTATAATGACCTCATAGACGAATGGCAACAACGCTGGGATGAATCATCCAAGGGGCGCCATCTTTACCAATTCTTTCCATCTGTTCGCGAATGGTTGTCGAGGACATGGCTTGAGGTGGATCACTGTGTCGCTCAATTTCTTACGGGTCATGGTAACTTTAAGAGCAAGCTTTATTCATTTAAATTAGTCGAGTCACCATTGTGTCAATGCTCAACACCTAACTCTCACTATGAACAGTCTGCTCATCATATCCTCTGGGAATGTAGTCTTTGGTATAATGAACGTAATATAATGCTGAATACCTTGCAGGTGACATCTGGGGCGGTATACTATGGGGATCTTGTGTCAACTAGGGTGAATTTCCGTGCGTTTAGGCGATTCTGTCATACATATTATAGAAATCAAATATAGCTCACGTAGGACCCGTAATATTTCGTGGCCGTGGTGCTTCCCTGTTTAAAAGGGTGTATGCCCATTTTATTTCATTTTGTCTCCCGCTTTGCTAAGGAGGGAAGTGGATTTACTGTGTTTCCAACTCCTCCAATTTTCTTCTGATTAATTTCGTTGCGGTTTCCAAGACAGTTTAATTTCTTCCTGGGACTTCCCGAGTGTCATAACTCGGTGTGTTCGTGGGTCACTGCTGTGGATCCTGGTGTACAGGAGTTACAGTGGTGGGCATGTGGGCGGGATTAGTCCCAATTTATTGAAATATTTATACTACCTTACTTCACTTCACTAATCTCACACGTCGGCAATCTGATCATAAACTGTGCTATGGTAACCATAGTGCTAATAAACATTCTTAAATATTTCCAAATGCATACATATTGACATAGAACAAATCGATCGAATGATCGTGGTCATCACACAGCTATTAGTCCTGGATGGGATTCGAACCCACGACCATCTTCTTAGCCGTCAGGGTCCATGCAGTTTTTGATCGGTTCGAGTCCGACATAACCATCCAGCCGGTGGGTGGTATCCGAGGGGATTTTCGCACAGAAAAAAAAAAGATTCACTACGTGAGTAGTGACCCTGTAGCCGCTTTTCTTCTCAGGCGGACTACTCACCGGCTGACCCAGTGGAGAGATTCAAGAGATTACCTCAGGGCGCCTTGTATGAGAACAGAAGTGTGTGCGTGTGGGAAACCTACGGGATTCCCTAGAGGAAAACAACTTACACCTCAGTCATACATACATGTATATTTCAATAAAAACATAATTAAGGTTACAATAAAAAAAAAAATTAGAGGGTATAAGAAAAACCGCAGCGGAGCGCGTCAGAGCCGAGCTGATGGTGCTCGGAGCCTCCTCGTCTTCACTCCAGGAGGTTACTTCCTCTTCCGCCCGAGTCGGCTATTTATATTAGATATTGAGAAAAGTTCACAATTGGTATTTATAAATTTAAATAGAGGTACGTAACCCTTGGGTACGGCTGTCCGCTTGCTTCGTGAGCCGCGTGATTGCCAGCTTGCCAGAGGGTACCGAGAAGCTTGAATCCGAACCAGAAGGCCACGAACGAACAAGCACGCCGTCTGAGACTGACCGTCTTGACCCCGAAATCTGGGACCCTACGAATGGATTAGCACTCATATTATTGATCAGGTTCCAGAAACAAATAGGTACAAGAAAAATTAAGACCATACTCACCACTTACATGGGTACTTTTGAACAGATAATATATTACGAAAATCAAATCACACGACAATCAAAACACTATTCAAGATTGGAAGACACGAGATAGCAGAGTGTCTCCCGTGGCTGAAAGCCGGACTTATATATCTTCGGTTTCCGAAGCTTCCAGAAATAACCCCTACTCAACACTTTACTTTGACATTTAAATTATCAACGAGGTTAACACGAACAAAATCAAAAGTAACTCGCTTCCTACCATAACAAAACACTTTTAATACCTATACAATTTGTCATGATAAATTACTAAAAAAATGACCTATCTACAAAACAAACGCCATCTAGTGGTCCGACGGCGAACGAAGAAAATCAATACTGTAGCTATTTTTTTTGGACTAGACCAACTATAGGCTAAGGACTTCCTTGATTAGACGAGTAGAACCGATTAAATATACTAACAATTCCAGAAACTCAATTTCATACTTTTAGACTAGTTAATGTCCGTACGAGTATTTATATAGGACCGAGATACCCTTATGACCATCCGCACCGTTCAAGTTGAACCATTATAAGCACATAATCACCATTAATTACATAATTACCATTATAATGAATAAAGAAGAAAAGCCTTGAGTTGTTATAGCGTCCAGTGTGACGACATGATATAATTTTATATTAGGTTGACTGTACACATTTTAATTTTAAGCAGTTTTATAATTTAACGAAATAATGTACTTAGAAAAAATTAACTGAGCTTAGAAAAAAATTAAATAAGCTGTATTCTTCATTATTTGTTTTTTTCTTCCAATTTGATTTAGACGGCCAGTAAACCCTTCCAAATATAAAAAAAAATACAAATCCGTCCATAAATGACAGAGTTCAGATAACAAACATAAAAAAAATGCAATCGAATTCATAACCTCCTCCTTTTATTGCAATTATCATAATCACATCATCAAAAGACTTTAATAGTCCACTGCTGGACATAGGCCTCTCCTTTGAAAGAAGGTTTTGGTCTGCTACACCACACCGTCCAGACGGGTTGGTATAGGGTTTGTTTCAAGTTTTCCTTCTTTTTGCGGTGCTGTTGTTCTGCGTAGTTTGCTCCCTTAGTCGGTTCTTACGACACCCACGCGATGAATAGGGGCGGTGACATTAGGTATTCATAAGAATCCGTCACCACACGGATAATAGAGATCGGTATAACAAAAAAAAAAGTGTAACCGAAAACCACCGATGTCCCTTCTAGATTTGCACATCCAAATAACACCACGACAATTGTGCTCAAGCCCTACTAAGTTTTTTATAGTTGCTTTGTAAGCGGTTTGACTTATCCGATATAAATACACCTCTATAATAGTGAAACAAATGCGCAAACGCAGCACGGTTTTTCCGACGCGGATTAATCATTGTGCCGCCATAATTACAAAGTGACGGACGTGTCCATTCTGACAGTTTTTTACGCTAAAGGTTTTTAATAACATAAAAAGAGATTCGGGTTCTTTTTCTCGGTAAAGTGTGAAAAGATAAATTTACCATGAAGGTTGTTATCGCTCTTGTGATAATCGGTAAGTACCGTTTTATTTGAAAAAAAAAACTTTGACATATAATTATGAAAGTGTATAAAACTTGTAAATTTGATTCTCACGAGTGTGTCCTAATAATTAATTATTTAATTACATACTCAGTGTATGTTGTAACTTAGATCCCTAGGGTTCTGTACAAATTTAATATATATACGGATTGTTGGTAGAAATGTTTATATATTCTGGGAATGGTTTAATATTTTAACATGAGAAATATTATTATATTTACTCATAAAATGACTTTCCAGTACAAAATTTTACAAGATTTCTTCTCTTACTTACGCCGTAAATCTTGTGCTCCTCTGTTTTACTTGCGAACTTCAAAATATGAGTCTTATATGTTACTCATAAACTTGTTTATTTTTTTTACAAGTACCAAGTGGAAAGACCATAAACTTAAACTATTGTTATTAGCTAGCTGTATCCTGACACATTTCGCTGTGGAACATTGTGGTTGCAAAAAAATTGATATAAACCATCTCTAAGCGTGTTGTATATCGTTACAAAATTTGAGTTCAATCGGTGCTGGACTTTTTGAGTTTTTAAAGCGTACACAAACCACCTTAACATACTATATATATGTATATAGAAAGATTAAATATTCGTCTTATTACCCGTTGAGAAAGTGACTTGAAATACATACGATATAGACTCATTCATAACAGTGCCTTTTATCCTTTAACCTTCCTTCACTAACAGGTATATAAGAACACATTAAAATGATGTGGACTCAAGGCAATGACATGAACATATAAGTATATGTGGACTGATATTATCATAATATAATAGCAATAAACTTATAAACTGAATAAAAAACTTTAATGCATTTTTCTAACGGCACTTTAAGAGACGGTAAAAATGTTTAATTGAACAGAAGAAACGTAACTGGCTGATCACATTCTTCTACAAGTTTAAATGTTATATTAGTAAAATTGAAACATTTTTGAAGTTTCTTCTAAGTAAGTCTTCTACTTAGGTTCGAAGGAAGAATTCATTACTATAAGTAAATTTACGCATATGTACTTCACAACAGTATTCATTACAAACAGCTTTCTATTCATTCGTTCGCTGGAGGTTTTATCTGGTTATCATCTCTAGGTCACCATCCTTGGACATCTGATACGAGAAGAAATGTACTACACAACACAGGTTACCCTACCGGTACTTTTCATAATTCCACCCATTTTAAAACCTACTATGTCCTCCATTTGTGCAATAACAGAATGCTTTAAAGTCAAGACCTTTGAGCGCTTAATAATTTACATACATATGCATAAAATTGTTCTAAAAGGTATTGATACAACCTCAATTACAAGTTTATTGTTGATACTGATAATGTAATGTATATTTTCTGCGGGTTAATGAACACATCCCAACAACTGATATTGATGGCTTAGTATCAAAACATATAAGTAACTCCAGTTAGAAATTGATTTTGTAAAAAAAAAACACGTTTAACACTCTACTGAGTAGGTACTACTACTGACTAACACACACATGAGTTACGAATTTACTCGTAGATATTTAATTTAACACCTCTCTTTTTGCACAGAGTAGAAAAATATACATAAGATATTTGTGCAGTTTTAAGCTATTTTTTTTATTTTATATTAATTTATTTTGACCACACCATTGTCATTGGTAATTAGGGATAATAATATTAATATTTATTTTATTTTTAAAATCTGTTGTAGCCCTAACCGGCGTGTCGACAGACATGGCAGGCGAATGTGACATGGCCGCCTTCTACCTGGAGCTAGGCTGCAAACCGGAATCTTCAACTGAGGAGTTCTGCCCTGATAAATTTAAATGCCCCGACTTACATCCAGACCCAACTAAATGCTACTACAAGTAGGTATAAGTAGGCGATAAGTAGACATCGTGCCACATGTGCTTTCGTTATAAAAATAAGCCTGTTTTTTTTCTCAAATGATCTAGAAGGAGGAGGAGGTTATAGATTGCCTTCACTCTTTAGGCATCTTTAAAAATACTCAGAAAAAAACAACAGGAACACTATTTATATAACACACAATTCTTTATTCCCTTAGGGAATCGAATCTGGAAAACACGACGCAGCTTAAATAAAATGAGATTAGACTACAGTAACCTACACAAACCTAATTCAGATAGGGTCTAACCTGTGTCTGGGATATAGAATGTAGGTCCTTAATTAATCCTATATTTAATTATAAAATTGCTATTGGTGACTATACTAAAGTCAACCAAAATACTATTATAACTGAGTCTATTCAGTACTTTTCAGACTATCAAGATTTATCTTATTTGACATATTTTACAGTTGACACTCAATAGATTATATTTATATAATCGATAAAACATTACTTAAAAAAGAAGCTTTGAATGTAGGTCCTTACTTAATCCTATATTTAATTATAAAATTACTATTGGTGTCTATAATAAAGTCAACCAAAATTATATTTATAGATTATATTTATATATTCGATAAATTATTACTTAAAAAAGAAACTTTTGATGAAGATGAAGGTAAAAAACCGGTACGAGTTCTTTAATGGCAAATATTAAAATAATTGTATAACCAAGGACGTAAACCGAGCCCAAAATTTTTATAATTAGTAATTCATGAAAAAGATAAATAAAATATGTTATAGAAAAGCATAGAACTAAAGCATTGGAACGTTATTTATCACTTAAATAGGGACCACTATCAATCATACAAACAAAGTCAGTTTTAAAATAGACTATCGTCATCAAACAGCGTACTCACAAACGCCTATTTTGACTTCAGAACTCCATAAGTACATATTTCATCATGACGTTTCCTGTGACGTCACTACCTGTCAACAACAAAGAGTTGCGACAAGAGGTCAAGTAAACTACTATTTACTTACACAAATTATCCTTGAACGGCAACCATGTTTGTTGTTGTAGAAATATTTCATCTTTCTGACCGAACCGGACATCATCACATTTTTCTTTTGCTAGGGTTCACATCACACATTACATCGTCATATGTTTGCCTAATCGCGCTCTCCACTATTAGCACATGTCGGCCAGCGGCCATCAGTCTGCCTGGCAAGAAAAATTAAGATTCACAAAATCTAAATTAAATCGAACGAAGTCAATACTAGTTTCGAATAATGTGAACTAATTGAACCAAAAAAAGCAATGCTATTTAACATAAAACTAAAGACAACTACCCACTGTTGACCTCGTTCATGCATTACTGAGAACACCGATAAATTGGGATGCACAAAAACGTCAAATGACCTCTGAATATGACCGTCGAGAAATATAGTGACCTTACGGGACGACAACGAAGACTAAATAATATTATAACAAAACATTATTTTGATCTTTAATTTTAAAATAATATCCTTTTAGGTATCTACTTACCATTATTAGATCCAAAGAGTATTGTATTTACTAGGGCTTTTTCGGGCCACATTTTCTTGACTAAATCCTTGCTAAAATTTAAAGCCAGGTACTAAGTATATTAGCTATAAATCTAGGTATATTATTTCTTTTCTTTTTTATTATTAAAATACACTTTGTCTGATGACAGTTTCTTCTGGTTTCCGTTCTTTCTTTTCAATTCTTATACAGTTGCTTAAGCTCGAGTGGTTCGTAATTTTTTGTCTTTTTTAGGGTTCCGTACCCAAAGGATAAAACGGGATAGAATTACTAAGACTCCGCTGCCCGTCCGTCCGTCTGTCTCTCTGTCTGTCCGTCTGTCACCAGATTGTATCTCATCAACCGTGGAAGTTAGACAGTTGACATTTTTACAGATGATGTATTTCTGTGGCCGCTATAACAACAAATACTAAAAACAGAATAAAATAAATATTTTGGTGGGGCTCCCATACAACAGACATGTTTTTTTTAGCCGTTGATATAGATAATTGTACGGAATCCTTCGTGCGCGAGTCCGACTATACATGAAATATACATGTCAAAGACTATACATGAAAATGCAACAAAAGAAGAAAAAAAGTTGTTATATTTAAATGCAATAGGAAGCAGTAGTGTTTTGTATTTTTAATTTTTAACCGACTTAAAATAATTTTAACATCACGATCGTTATATTAATTTCACAAAAAATAAAATCTCTTTTCAAATTTTCTTGATTTTCATCTAATAGTTTTTATTAGCGTTAGACTACCCTATGATAGAAATTCTGAAATAAAATAAAACAAGACAAAAAAAATACTAATATGCAAAGTAATACTCACTATTTACTTACTAGTAACGAAAAATTAAAAAATATGTCATCAGCATCATCATGATCTCAGCCGAAAGATAAAAAAATTTGAAAATAATAATAATAAATAACACTTACAATTCCAAAACTATACTTATTTTCAGTTTTATTTGTAATGTATAGAATAATAATTATAACTTTCTCAAATTGACAATTCATTGTGCAATTTCAGGAGCCAGGCCTACTCTCATAAAGAATCAATCCCTCAAAACATAGTTTCTAACCCCTGCTCCCAAGCCTGCAGCTGTAGCGTGTTTAATGAAGAGCCGCAATTCCTTTGCGCAGCCGTCGACTGCTATGAGACCTTCGACAGCGATATGAGCCAGCAATGTATCAATACTTATGAACTAGACTCGTGTTGTAGTACCGGGACTGTCTGTGGTAAGTTCTTATTTTGAAATTTATGTTCTATTACCCATTTAGATTATCTATCTATGTTCTAAGGAGGTTTTACCAAGAGGGAGCCTTTCCGTTAATAAAAGATAGAAAAAATACTTACTCGATAGGTATTTTTCTTTTTTTATTAACCTATCAAAATAGGGAAAATTAGAAGGAAAATTACAAATATGTTTATATAAGTTATATATTTCAATTTATTAAGAATAAGATATTAATTGGTTTAAAAAGTTTTTAAAAGCGTAAATAGGGACCCTGTTTGTGTCGGAACTTCGTGCTGTCTTGGTCTTTTTAGAGCATTTAAATTATCTTTTTGCTGGTATTTTATTTTTTTGCAGGTTTATTTTTATTATTACTTGTTTTCAAAAAGTGTTTGCATAACGCCATTGCGAAAATTTCTACGCAAACCTTCCAAATAAGCTAGAGCATAGCCCAGCTGGGGAAGTTACTAAATCAACCTTACGTATGAAGACGAATATAACCGTCAATAATTAGCAATTAAACACTCCATTCAAAACTACACAATCCTGACACATTTGTACATAATAGTGTGCGAACGAACCTATTATAAGAATAAAATCATACTCCTCTATTGCATTTACACTGGGGAGTCTTCATATGGCAAAATTTATTATTGTTTAATAGTTCATAGAAGATGGATCACAATGGTGCTTCCGTATAAAGAAGTGCAACCGTCCGTGGTGGTGGGTTAATGTGTAAACCACCTATTGTACAACTAAATGATCACATCCTACCTACGTGAGACAAAAATAAGTGTTGTAATGTTATAAAAATATCGAACAGTTGGGACACCAAAACATAGATTAGGTTTATTTATACTTACATTTTTTAATTTCCCTTTTAGTATTTCGATTTATTATATATAGATTCGATTTATCGATTTATTATCGAATATTATTTATAGATATTAACTGGTGATGATTTCACAAGGTGGTGATTCATCATCATCATCATCGATTTATGACTTATTGTTATCATTAATGTTACCGAGGGCACTAGTGAAGAATCTAGCATAATTCATCCTTTATTTTCGGTCATCACTCAATGTTTGCTGACTGGCCTGTTGCTCTACTGGTTCTGAACGCTAAGATAGAGGTCGTGGGTTCGATTCGCATCCAGGACAATTAATTGTGTAATAAGGACTATCATTTATCCTGTGTCAGGATGTAATTTATCTATAATATGTATGCATTTAGAAATATATAAGTATGTTTGTCTGGTTATATGGCAGTCTATAGTACAGGCTCTGTCTAGTTTCGGATCAGAATACCGTGTGAAGGAAGTGTAAAGTTATTAAACTTTCCCATGTGGTGTAATGAATTAGATAGCTCCACTCCCATCAATATCCCTAATAAGATGCGCAGAAGCGTGTTAAAGGCAAAGTTTTAGGCATTATTTTATCATTTAAGTCTCATTTATGTAATATGAGGCAAACCTATTCACATCAACGAACTACTTTAGGAAATAAATGGGAATATTAGTAGTTCAGTATAGTTATCTGTGTCTAGCATAGTTTTCCGAGTGGTGACAAAATACGGAGTGTCATCACCCAAATTCATTCCGTGGGTGTCGTAAGAGCCGTCTAAGGGAAAAAACAACGCAGCACAACAGCACTGCAAAGAGAAAGAAAATATTAAATAAATCCAACCCGTCTGGCCAGCGTCGTATAGTAGGCAAAAACCTCCTTTTTAAGGCGAGGTCTATGTCCAACAGTGGACTATTAAGGGCTGTTGAGGATGATTGTGAGTAGATTAAAAGGAAGAGAGGTCAGATGTCGCTTGCAAGGATGGATTGGGAAATTTTAGCAACAACTTGAGCAGATCAGGGTCCCATGCTTATTACACGAATTGCTTCATAACGGAACGTCCGAGCCTAGAAATAAGTACTTTGAAAAATAACAGTATATATACATATTATAGATAAATTACACCCATTACACTAATATTATAAATCTAAAGGGTTTGTTTGTTTGGTTCAACGCGCTAATCCCAGGAACTACTCGTTCGAAACGAAAAATTATTTTAGTGTTGGATAGCCCATTTATCAGAGAATGTTATATCACGCTATGACAAATAAAAGCCAAACATCAATGGAAAATGTTGTAAAAACGGACGAAAATTTAATCCTTTTGAAAGACGCAGAAAAGTTGTGACTCAGCTAGTATTGCATACTCTAGAATGTATATTTGTAGTAATGATCCAAATAAATACTACGCTTCATTTAAAGCCTACATATATATTCAATGGCCCAGTATCTATTCAAACAGGAAATTATTACAGTAATTAGGTATTTCATCTAACCATCACTAGTCGGAAGACGAATGGTCAGTTTCCTCATTTAAACAATAGAAATTATTCACATTGCGCCAGTACTTTTTTCTTCACTACTCATTGTAGTAGATTTACCTTCGAATTGTTCAACAAGAAATATTGAGACATTTTTGCTGTCCTCGGTCAAGATTTGTTTTCATCGTACGTAATAACATAGTATACCTGATCTTAAAAGCAGTTATCTCATTCTGGAAAACTTCAATGATCAAAAGCTTTTTTAGAAAACATTAGGTTTTTGTTTTTTATCGAAGAGGGGACAAACGAGCAGAAGGGTCAAATGATAGAAAGTGACCACCGCCGCCCATCAAAACCTGTAACTCAGAAGTCACAAGCGCGTTACCAGCCTTTGAGGAAGGGGCTTGCTCTTTTCTTGAAGTGTATTTAAACTTTTCCCATATTAGTTCTTGTGGAATTAAATCATCAACCTTGGTTTCATAACATCACTAACTAGCTAAAGACATATTAAACATACTTCCACACGCTGCGCATAGCATAATATAACATACCTTACAGTTTGAACTGTCAACAAACAGCCTTTAATCAATCTTCAGGCAAAGATGCAGTCGCCAAGCTGCAGAGCTGTATAGTGGACGGGAGGACATACCTGGAGGGACAAATGTTTGAGCCCTTGAATACTCAGAAAAGCTGTATCTGTACTGCGGAATGGGATGGCTCGGTGGAGAACCGATCGTACTGCCGTAATGTTGATTGTGGAATTGAACTTCACTACCAAAACAGCCTACTGGAAAACTGTGCTCCTGTGTTTGCGAATTCTATGCGCACTTGTCCCATCGGATTTGAATGTCGTGAGTACAACATCTTATTTTTGTTGAACCATCAATTGCTTTATATTTAGCCTATCGCTTGTATTTACGGCTGTAGCAACTTAACTGCGGAAGTGCTTTCATCCAACATAGGATCTACAGAATGACTATCTTTTTTCTTGCTGATGAGTAGGTGCAGATGATTTAACAGTACACTAGATCCTATGTAACAGGTTTGTGATGTAATGATTTAATAATTGCCCTCCATTTTGTAACTTAACTAAGTTTGGGGACAGTCTGCTTAGTTAATATTCGGTATAAAAAGAGAAAGCAATTCTGAAAAAAATTACCCAAATAACCAGCCGTTGGTACTGGAAAGTCTATTCAATCAACGAGTCACAAAAGACAGCATGCTCTTGTTAAGCATATTTTTCAGTCTAAAGCATAGCCGAAAAGCTAACTCTCCTTCAAGTGAATTAGAATTAAAGCGTCCAGTGAGTAAAGCAGTCCATAAATAAAGCTGACTGCACGGATGGCGTAGTGGTTTAAGCGGTCGCCACGCCGCTCACTACTACGCTGAGTGCTGTGGGTCCGATCCCCACATAGGACGACACTTTGTGTGATTCACAAATTGTTGTTTTGAGTCTGGGTGTTCTTTGTGTCCGTTTAATGTATGTTTGTAAAGTCCCCCGCGACACAGGATTTATTCCTAGTGCGAGAGATGACTTTAAAAAAAAAACTCAATTTTTTTTTTTGTTTCAGCAACAGTAAACTCGAAGATTATTCGAGGTTTAAATATCAAGCAGCTGACTACCCAGTGCGTATTTAGCAATATGACACTAAACATTGGCGATGAAGTAGCTGTCGAGGATAACTGTACTAAATGTACCTGCAAGATTCCACCATTCGTTAGCTGCATTAGATCGACTTGCAATTAAAAGGTTGTAAGTGTAATGTGTAGATATACTATTCATAACAAATGTTGTACAGTGTGTTATGTTGTTTTGAATGCAATAATTATATTTAAAAGTAATTGTCGTTTAGTTAAATGTTAAAGATTGTTATCAAATTAGGAAAAATGTTACTAGAATTTGATCTGTAATGTTTTTTAATGCAACTGGTAAGTACCAGACTCGAACATAATACTTACCGGTAAAATAAATATTTTATTTGGCATAGAGTCTATGTTTACTTTATTTGTGTAGTTATTGAAACGACGAAAGTTGGTGAAATTTGGATTGAACTTCATCATCATCATCAACAGCCTTTGATATTAATACTGCTACCTACTGCTGGACAGAGGCCTTTACTAAGAAAGGAAATTTTAGCCTACTATACCACGCTGGCCAAACGGGCTGGTATAGAGTTTGTTTAAATTTTTTACTTCTTTTAGCTGTGCTGTTGTCTTGCGTAATATAGTGCCCTTTATACAGGGGTTTTAATACAGTGCTACCGTTAAGGCAGACATGCACTACGCGCCACTCATCTTATCAATGCTAAACCAACTAATATCACGGCAGGCGTTAGTGCCTGTAACACAGTTAATACTATCATGAAAACTAACGTTCACTCTGTCTCTAAATAATACATAACGTTGTATGCGACTATTCTTTTATGTTTGAATGAGATGGACAAACTGTATTAGCCTTTTTTTTGATAATAAATTATTATTATTTTACTTTATTATTTTTATTCATTTTTATCAATTGGCGGGCCATGTTATACATAATGTTGTTGAAACCTAAGACACAATATACTTACGTCAAATTCTCGCAATATACTCCAAACTCTCGCAATATAACCGCACACGCGCACTTAACACACAAAAAAAAAAAGACGTGCGGCACTCGGGGACTGCCGCGGTAAAGCTATTGCATAGCATTTTGTATCAACTTATGCAATTATAATTATTTATTTATTTTATTTATGCAGTATTTCTTTTTCTGTGATATTAATTCAAGTTACACTTTTTGAGCGTGGTGACCGATAAGAAAACAATTTTCTTTTCTTTTATTAAATAAAAATATTGAAGCATATATTACAATTTTTTTTTAAATAAATAAATAAAGAATATTATTATTAAATCAAATTACATATCCATGTAAGATTTTTCTGCATTATGTTGACGAAATTTCCTTTGACGTTCAGCATTTGATTTTGGTATTGTTTTTTGTTTTGTTTTTAGCGTGAGGTTTTTTTTCGTTACGGAATTTCTGGATTCGGTCCCCGCGCTCAAGGCCCTCGATAGAAGCTATGCAATAGCTTAAAAATCCTACATTCTATTTTTTTATTCTTAAAACTTTTATTTTAATTGACATTTAACGAAATAAATATTCTTTTATCATTTTAAATATACATTTATTATTGTAAAATATCATAGGTAAACTTATATTTATTAATAGGAATCACATGACATTTGCTAATTATAAGGATATTTACATTATGTACAATGTACAAGCTACACAGCCTTACAGGACCTTTGTAAATTATTATAATTAATTTATAGTAAGTTATTATTAAATTATGTTGTGACGACATGCCTAATATAACTTAAAATTAAGTAGGTACTTTACAACGAAATTCTAAAATTTATTTTTTAGTTAAAATTATGGCGTAATAGGAAATATTAATATTTAAAAATAAATGATACCTTATAAAATTATATTGTTATTTAATAGTTACATTGAATACTTTTAAATGCTAATTACTGGCAGTGTTCTTAAGGTAAGTAATTAGGAGTTATATTCTATTAAAACATAATTCAAATTGTTATTGAGATCCTACATTACAGTATTTCTAAGATTGAAAGTAAGTAGAGTAAAAATACATAAATGCAACACTGTAATCACAAAATGATACATTAAAAAACTACATTTATGAGCATACACTGTAGGGCTCTTTTTGTGTGACACGCTTAGAGCCACTAATTTTTAACTAAGTAAAACTAAGGTGCTTCTTATGTAGGAGCGATAGCAACCAATGTTCAGTTATCAAAAAAATAAATGAAATGACTGCTGTGCTATGTATTGTGTGGTCGTAACAGCGGTTTTTGTGACATTTGTTGTTGTTGTTTGATGTCAAACAAGTGTCAAAAAATAATAAATTGTGACAGATTTATACGGAATTTAGTAGTTAATTAAAGCCTCTTAAGAAAAACATGCTAATCCAATTTCAACCCTGAACATTTGCTGAGGTCTTCCCACGTCACGGATCGCCACATCGAGGAGAGGCAGACGGCCAGGTTTGTCAGTTTCGTACTCTACGATGGTTCTCGCCCAGTCCTGACTCTTGTGCTGTGGATGAAATAAGTAACATTACTTTTCTTAGTACGTTTAGGTTTTCTTCTCATAGAAATAACCACAAAAAAATAATATATAGAAACATTTCCAAATAAAACAGTATTAATCACCTGGCATTCGTCCAATAAGGCCTTATATCTGAGTCTGTTGTTGGCCTTAGGCATTATCTCTGCATCGTTGAAGGCCAACAACTTGAGGCCGCGTCGGTAGTTGTTGGTCATAGGATCGTAGTACCCTATAGTGTTGCGACAGTGGAGGGTAACGTTTTGCACCGCTTTCGTCGACATCAGTTGTAGGTACGTCAGCTGAGAATGCTCTGCTTTATATGAAACCTATGTAAACACAGAAAGAAGGAATCAAAAGTGGCCTTAAACAACCATGCCTTAAAAATAGGTGCACGAGTTGAATACAGACCCTTAGTTAAAGGAAGGTTCGTAAAAATTATCATTTAAGTATCTATACCGTGCCCTAGTAACTATTGTAACCGATTAGGTTAGCACGTTTGGCTGGGTGACCGTTTTTATAACATCGAGATCCCTCCGTGCTTCGGATAATACGTTAAGCCGTTGGTCCCGGTTGCCATATGAACATCTGTGGCATTCGTTGGAGCCTACTATTAACTACTACTAACTACAGAATTTTGATAACGCTTAGTACTTGGGTTAATAGAAAAATCGAAGTTCAGCCATATCGTAACAGACTAAAAACCGATCCAACCTATTTTGGGAAAAGTTTCGGAGATTGGTCACCATAATACAGGCTCTGCCTGGTTTAAGACCAGACTGCCGAGTGAGAGATGTGTAAGTTATTATTATATTATATTGATGTTTCTATGTTCGCTGTTACAGATGGTTTTAAAAAGAGTATACTTACAGTAATGCCTTCTTCCATCTCGCTTAACCAGGGTTCGTGTTCCGTGCCACTGTATGAAATATCTTTGGACTGCATCGGCTTAGGGAATATACAGCTGCTTCCAGTCTCCATTTCACAGTGGACTATGATAGCATCATTGATTTCACCACCGTTAGGGTCGATCCAGTATTGACCTGAATAAGAGTAGTTGCCACATTTAGCCTTAAGTTCCAGTATATGGCTGACTGATCTTTACTTGGCGTTTTCTATGGAAATTATGACAATGGCCCACAAAAGGTATTTGGAGTAAAGATGTCACATTCACGATTTAGAGCAGTTGCAATCATATAAGTATTGATAGATAAACAAGTACAATAAAATGGTTTTAAATGTTAACATTATGAGGGGCTAGACTAGCTAGGCACATGACAGTTATAAGCTAATTTGCATGTGAAGGTATTTTTTGCTTACCGCTCTCGAAGCTCGGGTGATGATACTTGATATCAGCGCAAGTCTTCGCTGGAGCTTCCTTAGATCCGTCTGGTTTGAGGAACTTGTCCAGAGAAACTTTCAATCGTTCATAGGCTTTCATCACGACCTCTTTACGCTCTGATGGAGTCATGTCCTCTTTAAAGAAGCGAGCAGGTAGCATATTTGGATCATCACCTAATAGATCTGGACCTTTCACAGAACCTGTTTCAAGAAATGAAGAAAATATTGTATAATAATACCTTTAATGGGATATTTTACCTTTAAATCTTTTGCCTATAATACCTTGTTGAAGCATAGCGGATAAAGCAGCAGCATCATAAGCCAGCCCTTCTCCAGGTGGCCCTGGGGGTCCTGGGGGTCCAGCTGGTCCAGGAGATCCGTGTCTGCCAGGTTCTCCAGGTGGACCTCGGCCTCCAATTTGGCCAGGAGGTCCTTGCTGTCCAGCATTTCCATCACGGCCAGGTAAGCCTTAAAATCGAAACAAAAATAAGAATAAAGTTTTTCAGTTATGGAAACTACCAGATCTTTATGCATAACTTCAATTTACCTCGCGGTCCAACTTCACCATCTTTTCCAGGCGGACCCATAGGACCCAAAAAACCTCTTTCTCCCGGTCTTCCTGGAGCTCCCACCATTCCAGGCAATCCCGGTAATCCAGCATGACCTTTAGCACCATCAGAACCAGCTTCGCCACGTTCTCCTTTCGCTCCGTCAAGTCCAGACGGCCCCATTGCGCCAGGCGGTCCAGAAGGACCATCCACTCCTGGTGGACCGCTTTCACCTCTAGGTCCACGTTCTCCTGCCGCACCGGCAGGTCCCGATGGTCCTGGTGGTCCCTACATACCAAAAATACATTGTTTTAAAAGTTTATATGTATAGTCGTGGTGATATCACTCACAAACACATAAATAATATAATAATACATTTGGCCTCGCGACATGCACAGAATCATTACCTGACTAATGATTAATGAAATATAGCGTGCTCATGCATGGGCTAGATACAATGTGTAATATTTTTTTTGTAGTTTGTGTAAAAAACATAATTTAAACATTTTACCTGAAGTCCAGGTTGTCCGGCAGGTCCTGATACCCCTGGAGGTCCAAGAGGTCCCTTGTCTCCTGGCCGTCCTGAAATACCAGGTTGTCCTTGTTTACCAGGCCTACCCTCTGGTCCAGGTTCACCCATCGGTCCAGGGGGGCCTTGAAGACCGGGTGTTCCTTGTTGTCCTGGAGCTCCGTCTACACCAGACTTCCCAGGTGCGCCACTTTCGCCCTAGACATAATAATTAAAATGTTAACCAATTATAACACTGAGGATGTAAATTGAATAAGTCTATTAATTGAGAAAAACTTTTCATCAAAAGCATTTTCATTAATCGACTTAAAAAAAGAGGTTCTCAAAACGACTGTATATTTTATTTTTGTTTCATCAGACTCAAACTCAAACTCAAACTTTCTTTATTTCATAAAATTTACAAAATTGTTTGAAATCGTCTTCCATGTAGACTCTAAAGTCATAGATCAACACACACAAAAGCAACAATCTCTGTTTTGTCAAATAACCAAATAAATTTAACAAAAATCAAACCCATACAAAATCTATGATATGCCTGTGCCGATCTACAACCGCCCGTTTCCAAGGGGTTGAGCCTTATGAGAAGAAAGGGCAAACAAACTCATGGCCACTCTTTTGCAATTCACAAGTAGATACAATGGCACTATTAAATATATCACAACATTGTTTTGATGTGTGCTAGTATGTCCGTTATTAAGGACTTAAAGGTGAAAAAACAACGAAGAGAAAACAAGATTAAGAAGAAAAAACGAGTACAAGAGAAAATGAAGTGAAACATAAAAATAGAAAAAATAATAATAATAAAAAACATACTAGCCACACCACATTTTTACTTAAGAAAGAAATAGCCTGCGCTAATTAATCCCAAGTATTCTTGTCCTCCATGTAATCCACAATCGAGTAGTAGGCCCTCTGGCACAAGCCACGTTTTATTGCGGATTTAAATTTGTTAATACTCAACTCCTGAATATTATTTGGGATTTTATTATAAAATCGGACACATTGACCTCGAAAAGACTTGTTTATCTTTTGGAGCCTAGAGGCGGGTACAACAAATTTATTTTTATTTCTGGTATTTATGGCATTTACATCACTTTTTTTCAAAAAGCTATCTTTATTTTTGTGAACATATATTACATTTTCATAAATATATTGACTTGCCACTGTCATTATATTTATTTCTTTAAATTTCTGCCTCAATGAACAACGATTGCCTAAATTAGAACTCCGTTATTTGTGAAGCGTTTTCGAAAATCCTTTTTTTATTTGGGAGGAGTGTATATTCCATTTGTCCTATTCTAATTTGAAGAAAAAAAGATCTCTGTATTTAAGAATAAAGATAAAAAAAAAATATTACAGTTCATCATTCGGTGATATTTTTAAAACTTAATAATTTTACTCCATACACGACTATAAAAACTAGCCTTTTTAAAGCTTTTTTTGCCATATTGTATAATATCATCTTAGCCTAAGTAAAAATATAACACACACAGACACAACATAAAAATTAAATTTCATATTCACCTGTTGCCCTCGAGGTCCTTGCGGCCCAATTGGCCCAACAATACCAGGCAATCCAATAGGGCCTCTTTCACCAGCTGGTCCAGGTGGGCCACTCAAACCTTGCGGCCCTTGTTCTCCTTCACTGCCTCGTTCTCCTTTGTGGCCTTCAGGACCCTGAGGCCCTGTAAGGCCAATAGGCCCTGGAGCACCAGGTCTGCCAGAATCTCCTGTCGCTCCCTTAGCACCTGGAATACCTGCTTGCCCAGCTGGACCTGTACTGCCTTGTGGACCCTATATAAAAGAAATTCTAACTTTTTACTAAAACTTTACCTTAAGGTTATTGATTTTATGATTTAACGAAGTACCTATATTGGAGATGATTTACTTTTTATTTTTCTTATAAACCCGAGTCTTTCAAGGACAGACATCAATTATTTTTTTAATTACAAAATTTTATGAAAATCGTTACCAGATTTCGAAATGCACATAATATGGGACGTTCAAAGGGTTACGCAACCCTGGCTTCTTCCAACTACTGCATTCATATTCAATTTCTTATCCGGGCCTTGCGATATCCCTAAGCCAACCACACATACATACACACATACACACACTAGTCTTCTTACCAAAAAGACTTATCTACAAACTTTTATGAAGTTTTTAGCGATTGTTGTCTACCCTAATAAAATAAATAATTAAATTACCGTTGGTCCCACATCACCAGGTCGTCCTGGTAAACCAGCATGTCCTGTTTCTCCCTTTGCTCCTTGTTCCCCGCGGGCACCTTTAGCCCCGGCTAAACCTGGTAGACCACGCTGACCCATTTCACCCTGTTTACCTGTTTTATAAAAAAAAAAATTGTAGTTACTAGAAATAAACATTGTCTCATAAAATTTCATTTATTTAAAAGATCTGGCCACAACCCGCATTCAAACTAAATTATTCACGTGAAATCGTACTTTAGGGCAGTCTAGGATGTTATAGTAAACCGTACATAAAGAAGAGTTCTAACAGTTTTATCAAGATCGTGATTTAAACATGGAATCTAATTCTTGAAATAATTGAGTAATTGATCTTGAAACATTTGAATTAAGCTATTATTTCGCAGGGTTTATGAAAATGAAAAGAATATAATCATCACACGCCGTCCTTGTTTATTGAGACTCATAAAGTTAGAGAGCTCGGACTTCCCGGCAATAGCGAGTATAAGTTACAGGTGGACCATAACCCTTTCAACCTATTACACTCCCCCAAACTATCAGTATCAGCGTTTCCTTTGCCTTCCCTTCTTGTCTGCCTTTCCCTTTTAAAATACTTCCAATCTTTAATTTTTAGAGTATGCGGTTGGCGGGAATTAGTAGTAATCAAGTAGCACTTAATCATGTCTTAATACTTTAGAGTACCTTTTGTTAGTAACTCAAATAATTTACTTTTTATTAATTTTATGATAAAAATCTTATTAGAAATTGACGTCATTACTGGATTTTAACACACTTCATTTAAGGTATACGTTTATCGAGGCAAATAAGAAAAATAATATACTAATAAGTAATAATAGGAAAAATTACCTGGGCTTCCCGGAGATCCTTGCTGTCCTTTTAAGCCTCCATAACCTCTTTCACCTTTTGCCCCTGGCATGCCAGGTAAACCTGGTGGGCCTGATAATCCGGGAGCACCCTGTGAACCAGGCTGGCCTCTTTCTCCTTGTGAACCATTGGCTCCTGGTTCGCCGGGAACTCCAGGGCTACCCGGCTCTCCTCTCTCAGCTGGTTCCCCTGCTGGGCCTACCGGTCCAATAGGGCCTTGCGGGCCCTGTTCACCTTGACGGCCTGGGAATTTATTACAATCTGTTACTACCTGTTCTACTTATATGAATAACATTTGTATTTATGAACATAATAAAAGCAATTGAGCAGATGAAAATGATATCTCTCTTCTCCGCATAGGAATATTAAAGAATGTACACAGAAATCCAACCTAAATTTTTCAGAGTTCTGTTCATCTTTCATGAGAGCAGTGTCTTTGCAACGTACCCTGTCTGGTAATAATATGCACCGAATAATGTGAAAATTGTAGTATTTATATACTAACCTGGTGGACCATCATTGCCAGTAGGACCAACAGCGCCCCTTTCACCTTTATCACCCGGTGCACCGGTCAGACCACGCGGTCCGGGCATACCCATTGCGCCCATGGGACCAGGATGACCTTTGCTACCTCTAAGACCTTCTGGACCCTGTCAGAGTGGAAGGAGTGTAAATTTATTTGTAACCTGATACTTAAAATATTACATGTCTTTTAATAGAGTAGAGTAAATATTATTACCGGAGGGCCATCAGGTCCTTGAGCGCCAGTTTCTCCCTTTTCTCCTGAAGTTCCAGGTTGACCAGGCTGCCCTCGTTCGCCCATAAATCCTCTCTCTCCACGAGGTCCAGATGGCCCAGGTGGTCCAGCGGGACCTGCCATCCCAGGCTCTCCTTCCTTACCTGGAGATCCAGGTAAGCCAGCAGCTCCGGGCATACCCTTAATAAAACAGAATGTTAGATGAATGTGTATTTAAACCTTAAATATTATTAACACTAAAAGAAACAAATGTGACAAACTATATTTAACTTACAGGAAAGCCTGTTGGTCCAGCTGGACCAGACGGGCCTCTATCGCCTGATGGACCAGCAATACCCTGAGGCCCCTGAATACCAGGATTGCCATCCCGTCCAGCATCACCTTTTGGTCCGTGTGGTCCTGGTTGACCTGGCTCTCCGTCTTTTCCAGCCTCACCCTACAATTAAAATATTGAAAATACAAAACCAGGGATATGTAAACTAAAAATAAAGTAAAGCATATGAGACACTCACTTGTAAACCTCGTTCTCCTGGACTTCCCCTGAGACCAGGTGCACCTTGTATGCCCTGAGATCCTTGTTCACCAGGCCTGCCATCTGCACCAGGAATACCTCTTTCACCTTGAGGCCCTGTTTTGCCTGGTATTCCTGGACGACCTACAGGTCCTCTAAGACCTTGCATCCCCTGCGGCCCAGGCCGGCCAGCATCGCCCAAACTTCCTTTTGCCCCCGGAAATCCAACACTTCCCCTCTCTCCAGGTTGACCTTTAGCCCCAACAGGACCATCTGAACCTGGCAGGCCTCTCACGCCTTGTAAGCCTCTTTCACCTGAGGGTCCGACATTACCAGCTGGCCCTCTGAGACCCCTCTTTCCACGTTTGCCTTCGGGGCCCATGGTACCAGGGAGGCCTCGAGGCCCTGGAGCACCAGACTCTCCCCTTATACCTGAATCTCCTTTTTGACCTCTTTCCCCTGGTTGACCCTGGAAACGATATATGGTTATGGTAAATTCACAATAACTGAATAATAACTTTTAATATTTGCATAGTTTATTCGCAAACAAAACGGTTTATTCCTAATATTATTAATATCGAAATCACTACTTACTGGCATTCCTTTACTCCCAGGTATCCCTGCTTCTCCAGCAACTCCAGGTAAGCCCCTGGGTCCTGGGAAACCTTGAGGGCCAGAAGCTCCTGGTTGCCCTTGCACACCCTTTTCTCCAGGTACGCCATCACGTCCAGGAATACCAGAAGCTCCAACATCACCAGGTTGACCGGGGCGCCCTGCTTCTCCGCGCGGTCCTTGCAATCCTTGACTACCTTTAGGTCCAGATGCACCCTGTTCACCCTTCAAACCTGGGGCTCCAGGAAAACCTGGTGATCCTGGTTTTCCAATGTTGCCCTGACAAGACAGTTCAAAATCTTAACTCCCATTTTACAAAATCGTATTATTTTTTATACATCTTAAATTTACAAATATTACTTTTAATTTGTTCCTTATTTGGTGTATTCGTAATATTAAAATTTAAGTTTTGTTCAAACACTTTTAATTACTATTATTACCATTAATCCTGGTGGTCCAGGAGCACCATCGGCTCCACGCATGCCTGGGGCACCTGGAGCACCCTCACGTCCTCTTTCACCTCTGGCACCAATAGGGCCCTGGAAAAGAAATTCACTTAAGAATGGGCTCACAACTATGTATACATTAACATTGTAAAATAAAATTGTAAGTATTGGTAAAACAAACATCTTATACTTACTACAGGTCCTGTTGGGCCCATTGGTCCAGGCATTCCTGTAGGGCCCTTTTCTCCTGGCAAGCCTTGATCTCCCTTGGCACCATCTTTTCCATCAAAGCCTCTGTGTCCTTTTAGTCCCTGTATGCCAGGAATACCTGGGGAGCCCCGAGTTCCTGGCTGTCCTACTGCTCCCGCGGGGCCTGGCTCGCCGTCCTCACCGGGAGATCCCTAGGGATGTAAAAAAAAATTGTCTATATTTTTAAAGTAATTATGAAGAGTAACTGCACGAAAAAGAACCAGTTTTTGGAGTCAGATGCACCCCATGACTAATTTTCTTTTTATTATCTTACATCTGTATACGACCTCGACGAAAAAGGATAAGCCAAACCAAAGTCAAGATTGTAAAGACATTTTTCATTATCCTTTCTTTCAATTTGGGATGTTCTAGACGCGCTTATAAAGATTACGGCTTATTTATTCTGAGCCATATGACTCTCCAACGGGTGTTTTATTAATTTAAAAATAAATTATCATTTAAATTTTTAGTAAATGAAGTTTATTTTTAATAACTTTAATAAGTATCTTCAAAATCCTTACATCTTTGCCAGGTAATCCCTGTGGACCTCTTTCACCTGGTGGTCCTATTGGTCCAGGTAGTCCTGGCTCACCTGTTTCACCCCTAGGGCCCTGGAATCCTTGTGGACCGGGCGGGCCTTGCGGACCTGATGAAAACAATTTAATAGTTTTAGATCTACATATTCTTTTGCTACTTAGATCTATACAGTTATGTGTGACATTGCTTTATGGATAAACACTAATGATTCTATTACTAATTGTTTTACGCTAACGGACTCAATACACACTTAACTTCATTTGAAGTGGACTTCTTTGTTAGATTGTTCTTCGTAGATATTTAACACACATGGTAATACTGTCCAATGGTTAATCTTAATGTTGGGAAGTTGTATTCGTGATAATCGGCGTGATAACTTTTATTGCGTGATGCAGGATTAGTAGTTATTCAGTATTAGATGGCATTTACTCGTAAATATGTTTTTCGTCGGAGTCACCACAAACAGATAATTGAAATCGAACACCCACTTAAAGAGTTTTTGAATAGACTTCTATCAAATATACAATGCAAAAGGACAGTATACTTCAAAATCAGTGCCTCCTGAACTTTAACCATGAGTGTACCTGCAATTCCTCTAATGCCTGGAGCACCCACTGAAGCCTGCATGTACTGATATGGATCAAAGGGTGGCCCTTTATCGCCTCCTGCTGAAGCCGCCATTTGTGCTAAGTATGCATTTACCTAGAACAAAAAAAAAATTGCAGCTATTATGCCTAATGTCATTGCCCGCCAAAATCATTGAAATTATATTCTAAGACATTCTTTTATAAGTTCCTCTTCCCTTTGGACCGCGTAAGCGAACAGACGTCACCCACCGTGCGTGTTTATTTAAAAATTTAAATAAAGTTGATTTCGCTGCAAATATTAATACTAAAAAATATACAAAGTACCAGGCGAACATAACGCAGTGTATGTCCGCGGAGTGCGTGAGAAAACAGGACAACAACTACGGCGACACAGGTAGTAAGTCGGCCCCGCTGTGTGTGCGCATCTCACGTCATCGTGTGACGACGAACCATTTGCCGCTTGCCACAACTTACAAGCGACAGCGATTAACGGGTAACTTTTTTTTTTTGTGTAACCCAAGCTCAATCCCAACTTTGTTCAATTAACTTCTAATTATTTATTAATAATTATTCAAGTTGATTAAATAATTAATAATTATTTTATATTGATTTAAACCGTCACCGGAATATGTCAAAGTCACTACATAGAACTCCACCGAAACAAAATATACCATCAAGATCGGAATCTGATATCCAAAAATTGTGCACAAATGAAACCATTGGATCGAACCTCACCCAACGAGCCAAACGCAAATGTTTATCAACCGAAATCACTGGTGACGAGAGCGATAGCTTTAAAACCGAGATCAAACAGATGATACATGATCTAATGACCGCACAAAACTCACGACTCGATAAATTGGAAAACCATATTCTGGATATAAAAAACCAATATCTTGAGATTAGAACAACTAATACCGAGCTCGAAAAATCTATGACATTCATATCCGATCAACTATCATCTCTAGAGAGCAATATCTCAAGTTTAGAAATGGAACGGCACGAGACGGCAAGAAAAGTCACATCACTGGAAGAAAGGCTAGAAACTCTTGACCGCAACCTTGTGAAGACTTCTGTTGAGCTTCGAAATGTACCTAAAAGAGTGGCAGAAACTAAGTCAATGTTATATGATTCGATCACTTACCTGTCTAAACAACTAAATATAGGAATAGAACCCACACATATTCGGGATATAACCAGACAACCTTCTAAAAAGGAAAATCAAACCTCAAATATAACGTTAGAGTTCTCCAACACATTACTCAAGGCGAGCTTCTTAAATGCTATTCGACAATACAATAAACAGAACCCTAAAAATAAGGTAAGCTCATCTCACTTGGATATTAAAACTACTGAGCAGCTACCAATATATATTACTGAACAATTAACATCCCAAGCCAAAAAAACATTCTACTCTGCCAGATCCTTTGCCAAAGCAAACCAATATAGTTTCTGTTGGACTTCAAACGGCAAGATTATGCTAAAAAAGGATACAAACAGCCAGGCAATCATTATTAAAAATGAAGAACATCTGAAACAACTTTCCCATCAAAATAGTCTATGACTAGCTGTTAATCCACGATTACATTACATTTCCTATTGTATTACCTATAATATTGTAACTTTAAATAAGTCAGTTACAAATCTTGGCACTCTCATTAGTATAAGTACACACATATTTTATAAAATATTACACAACCCTCAAAAACCCACACAACTATTCATAGATATGAGTAGACAAAACACTAAAACTAATATACACATTTATCCCCATTACTATTTATTCGTACATATCATTACAGCTATGTTAAGATATATTATATTAATTATCCGCTATAAATACTTAATTCCCTCTTTTAATATTTTAGTAACCATTGCGAACCGAATGTCCCATATGCCGAGACCTTATAATACTGAACTTCTCCAATTTGCTCTAAAATCTGTTATAAATGATTCATCCCACTTCATTAATCCTTTTGACTATAACCTGCTACAAAAATGACTGGTGTTATTAATGATCTTATTGATAGTATTGATCAACTCTCCGTATCAGAAGTTCACACATGCTCCCCCGAAGAAACAGCAACTTATTTAAAGCAACCAAATGGATTTCTTAAAATATTTTCTCAGAACATTCGCTCAATAAACTGCAATTTTTTAAATTTACAAACATTCATGCACCGTTTTCATTTTGACTACGACGTGATAGTCCTCACAGAGTGTTGGCTGCCATGCTCAAGCAATACCACCATACCGCTTCTTCAAAACTATACTATGTTCAAAACTACTAAACACATTAATCAAAGTGACGGTGTGGTGGTTTATATCAAATCTGGGTTATCGGTTTTATATGAAGAATTAGACTTTAATCAAACAGCTTCTGGAATCATTATCAAAATTAATAAGACTATTGCAATAATCTGTATCTACCGTACACCTTCATGTGATAGCATAAATACCTTACTTTTAACCCTTAATAATTTACTTTCATCGCTTACTAATTTTAAAACTGTGGTCATAACTGGTGACTTAAACATAGACATCAAACCTAATACTTTAGACGCACGCTCACACGAATATTTAAATTGCCTCGCTTCAAACGGTTTACTACCAGCTCATACATGTCCAACTCGAGGTAAAAATTGTTTAGATCATATTATTCTAAAAACAAAGTCCCCATCTTTCTCATTCATATATGAATCAACAGTCACAGACCACTACTCAACCTTGCTCTGTCTAAGTAACCAAAGTGTTCGAAACTTTGTGGCTTTCACCGCTGCTAAAATCGATTACAATGCACTTGATGAAACAATATCCAGCATGGATTTCAATTCCGTTTTCTCAATAACAAACCCTAACACAGCGACAGATACAGTTATAAAATTATTGTCGTCAGCCATATCAAAACATACAGTTTATAAAAAAGTCCCAGCAATGAAAAAAATACTAAAACCCTGGATTACTCCCGGCCTACTGCGGTGCATAAAACATAGAGACGCGCTGCATAAAAAATTTAAGAAATCACCAACAAATGAAGTTTTACATCTAACATACAAAAGATACAGAAAGTTTTGCACAAGTACTTTAAAAAAAGCTAAGAGGTTTTATGATGCAGACCAAATAAACAAAGCCAGTCGCAATCCTAAATTACTATGGGATACTATCAAACAAATAACGAATACAACAAAAGTGAAAAATTCTTCAATTCAGTTACTGGACACCTCTACTTCACCCATTCAGTCATGTAACGACGTAAACTATTTCTTTGTCAACATCGGTAAAACACTTGCGGACAATATAACGAACCATCAACATCAACACCTAATCACCAAATCTCAAATCATTGCAAAACCGTTAGCATGTTCGTCCTTCGCTTTAAGCTATACTGACATTGCCGAGGTCATTTCAACGATAGACTCACTGCGTGCAAACGCCTCTACGGGTTGGGATGGCATCCCATCTTATATTTTGAAGAGATACTCTAACCTTCTGGCACCCATATTAAGCCACATATTTAATCTTTGTTGTGACACAGCTGTCTTTCCAAATGCTCTTAAAAAGGCGATAATCCATCCTATCTTCAAGGGTGGTGACGGAACCCTACCGAACAACTATCGCCCCATTGCAGTATTGAGTGCATTATCAAAAATTTTCGAACGCTTAATAAATAAAAGACTAGTAGGCTACCTAGATCGGTATAATCTAATTTCATCCAACCAATTTGGTTTTCGCCAGAAGAAATCAACTTCTGACGCTATTCATGAGCTCACAAACTTTATCGTTCAAAGTATCAATCAAAACAAAAAGGTTCTAAGTATATTCTTAGACCTCGCAAAAGCGTTCGATACGGTTCCCATTGTCACACTCTTATCCAAACTTGAACAGATGGGTGTCAGAGGTGCACAACTACAGCTATTTGAGAGTTATCTAACAAATCGTTCGCAGATAGTGAAAATTGATGGCTATTATAGTGAGGAACTACCCATCTACTATGGAGTACCACAAGGTAGCATACTTGGCCCTACATTATTCCTCGTATTTATAAACGACCTCTGTAAGCTGAAAATTCCTAATGCAAGGACCGTGTGCTACGCAGATGACACGGCAATAACCTTTGTCGGTGATACATGGTCAGACCTGATGCACATGGCACAGTTTGGCTTTGATCTTGCATCGAAATGGCTATATTCACATACCTTAACATTGAACACAGCCAAAACGAAATATATTACTTTCTCAAAAAGCTCAATATCACAACCAATAACACCACTAATTTTAAAAGCGCACTCTTGTCCCACCTCAGATCAACTCTCATGCGACTGTCCTACTTTATCCCCAGTTGATCACGTTAAATACCTAGGCGTAACACTAGACAAATGCTTAAACTTTAAGATTCATATAAGTGATCTCGTAGGTCGAGTCCGTAAATTGATTTACGTCTTTAAAACTCTTCGCCATATCGCAAACCAAACTATTATACGTAATGTGTATTACGCCGTCTGTTTATCAATTGTTACATACTGTATTTCCTGTTGGGGTGGCGCAGCGAAAACGTTCCTGAAGCCACTAGAAGTAGCCCATAGGGCCATATTGAAAGTTGCCACTTTTAGGCCCATAATGTTCGCGTCCACCTTACTGTACAATAAGTGTGATGTACTTAATGTTAGACAATTATACATACTACATGCAGTACTCACGCAACACAAAAATACTCCATTCATAAAAATGTCCAAACGTCGTACAGATAAAATATGTAACGTTCCAAAACCACGTGCTTCATTTACTAAAAGGTTTTTCTTTTACTTAGGTCCATACCTATACAATAAAATAAACTTAAGTTGCCCCATATACGGTTTGTCTCACTTTAAATGCAAAAATACACTCAGGTCATTTCTCCAAAACAAATCTTATGATGAAACCGAGGAATTCTTGCCATAAAATCTTAACATATTATTTTAATTAATTAATTTAAATCTAATTTAATTAATTTAAATCTATGTACATGCAATGTCTGCCAATATTTATTCAACTATATATATTTAAAATACACACTTACAATCACACCAACCACATTAAATTTAAATATAATATACAAGTACCTGTTCTATCTCAAAAAACAAATCCAAACAGACTATACAAACACACACATACACGCACGCACGCACGCGCCCGCCCTCGTATGTAATATATTATATTATTATATATACACACTCACTAACACATACATTCACACTTACACTCATATCCTGCATGAAATTCTTATGTAAATTAATACTAAGCTCAAATTGTAGTCTTTAAATGTTCTCAACTTTTGTTTCATCACTTGTTTTAAATAAATAATTGTATTTACCGATTGCATATTCCAAAGGGGACAGGACTGTTATTCCTTACTACAGGTTACTGCGTAACCTATCAAGGGTAACAGAACTCCACCCACAAGATTGTATCTATATATATGTAATTGAAATTAGAACTAAGTCACAAGCCTTTGTACTACAATCACCTTTTTACCAATAAATTATTATTATTATTATTAAAGTACTTTCTAGAGCCAAACTAAAAATAGCTTTTATTTTGTAGCACACCTATTATATTTTTATGTTTATACATACTTATATATATTTTTTTACGTATATTTTATACATACACATAATTTTTGTCATAGTTGATAGAAATACCTAAATCTGCTCATTCGAGTATACAAATATTTGCAGTGAGCGGAATGCATACTGACAAACAGATTAATAAATTAAGACCATAAAATTGAAAAAACTCACATCAGGCATTTGACCAGTGGGTCCTGGAAACCCGGGTGAACCGGGGACTCCATTGACACCAGGTAAGCCAGGTGGTCCGGGCGGGCCATTGTCCCCGGCTGCTCCAGGTGCCCCTCGTAATGTACCCGTTGGTACAAAAGCGCCTTGTCCTGCTAACCCTGTCAGTCAAAAATGAATTTAATAATCTAATTCCTGACTATTTAGCATTAAGCTCGTACTTAGGAATATAACAGTGACAAAAAAGAGTAGAACTGTAGGTATTGGCAGATACTCAAAAGAAAAAAACAACAAAAGACATTTTACAGAATACACGACGACCATATGAACCAGCAATGTATCAACACTTATGAGCTAGACTCGTGTTGAAGTACCGGGACTATCTAATCTTTGTTCTTTTACCCATTAAGATTTACAAGTATCTATGTTCAAACAAGGTCTTACCATGGGAGAGCCATGCTTAGGCAGGTAAGGGCTGGCTATGGCCTCACGTAAAACCGGTGTTAAGCAAAACGTTTGTCGCTTTCCACCACAAATGACCTTTCCACCTACTGAGTGAGGTCATCTGGAATCCAATCCCTCCTTAATTCCAGGAAGTACTCAAAGAACGGAAACTTGAGTCTCTTCAGTTGTAAATGTGTACGGCGACACTCACTTATAATTAGGTAGTCCGTGTGCTCGTTTGCCATCTTTGCCATAAATTAAGCAATGACTCTTTTACATTAGTTTTTTGATAATACCTGTAAGGCAGGAGGGCATCACCGAACAGTTAACTCGACCAGCGAAACACTGGCACAGTGTGCAATTGTCGCGTTTCCAAGTCGCGCCATCAGACCATGTGATACCGATATCCACACATTTAGGTAGCGACGTCACCGACACTGAAAAAAAATTAACATTAAATTAAAAACCTTATAAATTTATTTCTTTTTGCATCACGTTCATAGACCCCAGATCTAGTATTTAGGATAAAACTTCTTTCAATAAAGGATTTTAAATAAAAGTCACCTCTTCAATTACATTGAAGTCAGATGTGAAAAATGGCATATTTAGGTAAAACCATAGTGTCCTACAGAAACTTATGTAAAAATTCACTGACCTTCAAGAGCCAAGAGAGAAAATAACAAATAATAGAGTAGAAAGATCTAAGCTCGCCACAAGGGACTAATTAACTAATTTGAAGATTTAAAAAAATTAAATAACGATATTATTCGTACCTCTAGGTGGCCTCATCGTGGATGTACCTGCAATTATAAATTTAAAACATCATTCCTTTCCAAAAAAAAATTAACACAGTGGTCGATTTATATCTATGTTGTCTCAAAAATCCACTAAGCGACATAATCTAGGTTGAACTTTACTGGGCATATAAAGTTCCGGTGTCACCACAGTGTAAGCTATTCTATAGGCCATTAAGATTACGTACCAAAAAGTAGGTTTCAGAAAACAATGATTTGTCATTGGAACCGTATTGGAAAATTATTTTTAAATTTGGTTAATATTTTCCGTTTGGTCCTATTTAAAAGATCCAGTGTCTCTTGAAATGAAACAGTGCTCCATCTACATTTTCATCGATAAGTATCACATATCATCATCATCACAGCCGAAAGACGTCCTCTGCTGGACGCCCACAACAACCGATCCTGTGCTGCCCGCATCCAACGACTTCCCGTAATCTTCACCAGGTCGTCGGACCACCTTGTAGAGGGCCTACGCACGCTCCGTCTTCCGTATTACATATATCGCTAAGTTAAGACTGGATAAAGCCTAAGCATACATACCGATGGTTGATTGAGATGCAGTTCGTTCGAAGTCTCTAGCAGCGATTATGGCTACAACAAAACAATAAAGTAAATTATACTCGACTGTTGGTCTGATAACTGGTATTCATATTTATTTAAGATTAAGTGTTTTACTCGTGTGTGCATTTTGTGTATGCCCCTAACGCCTAACACCGCCGCGGTAGGAGGCTTTAGTCCTTCAAAAAGGAACTGACGGATCCGAAGGTAATCCGGAATCCCCGAAATACATACTTGAATACAACCGTAAATCTTTAATAAACCGTCTAACCCAGTAATCATTGAATAATATTCGGTTATGTTTGTTAAATAAAGTACACACATATGTTGTACAAAGTTTGTATGCGTTTTCTGTAATTATTTTCATTTTAGAATGTGGCAAGAAGATTACCTATTTTTTCATCGGATAAATTAATAAAATTGGTAACGAATAAATTTATGTACGTTTATTGGATTTAGTTTACGTCAAAAAAAAAGGATTTGCAGCCATGCTTTGCAATTAAATTATTTACTTCAAAAGTTTGTTTGTTTATTATTAAAACTAAAAATGACGAAATAAAATTAAAATATTTTTAAGTTTTAATTTTTAAAATTTAGTTTTAGAAGAATTAAATAATTGATAAGAATAGAAATAAGAATCTTTAGACTTCAAAGGAATTACCAAGCCAAAAATAAAACTTTAAAAATAATCATAAAAGAAAATAGAACCATTTATAAATCGTGTGTATAATTATACACACTATTTATTTATAAATTGTATATAAAAGGTATACCATTTTCATCTTCCTCGAAGAGGCCATAGTCGTCGTATTGTGTGAGATCCGGTTGTGAATCATCCTGCTGAAGCTTGTCGGCATGAGAGTCAAGGTCGTGTGGTGCGGTATCTCGGTACGAAACATCAGAGAGCTCCTTGGCTGCTGTCGATACAAACAACAGCGCGAAGCTGGTAACTTGCCAATACCACCCCATGACCTATGTCAGAGTAAAGTTGGTTAGAAGCTAAGGTTTAATGAATCAGTAAATAAAACAATAAAATTAAAATTACAACTACAAAATCGTTTAGTTTCTAAGACCGCATCATATATTTATATCAAAAATAGTATTATTCACCAATATTTGCTGATTTTTTGTTCTTTATGAATTGAAGCACAAGAAAGTATGATCTTAATAAGAAGTTAATGTCCTTAACTTAATTGAAATATTTAAAATCTATTAAGACACTTATCTAAATACAAATTGAGTTGCAATTGTTAAGAGAAAATTTACATAAAAAACCTGAAAATCTAAAATTCTAACTGCAACCTCAAAACCACCTGGCAACTGAGAAAAAAAACATGCCATACATGAAGCGTCTTTTAAATTAAAAATAGAACAGCATAATTAATTTGGTGTAGCAACACAATTTGAATCTGAAACGTACGTCACCAGGCGCAAGAACAACTAGCAAACATGATTCAATGAAGATGCTGAACATTAGGGTCATAAGACTGCCCAAGGCTAACAAACCAGGACATCGACTCGACTCCTATTCCTCAATCATATCAACTAAAGATGTCATGATCGAGCCGCGGGCCACGATCCACTAACCTCTCCTATGTTCAATGCGGCGAAACACATATGTCTATATGGAGATGACAAGTCACAATTGGAGCTTGTAATAATTAATTTTAGCGACTGTCCGCCCGTGTGAATGAACCAATTTGTTTATTGAAAGGATAGACTATGATTTTCACTTTCGTCCAATTAGATTTTGGCGGTTTGACGACAATTGATTATTTGAATTGAGATGGAATGTCTCTTAAACATTTTTAAATGTAATGGTAACTTTTCGATGGATCTAAAAATCAAAATGAAATGTAATAAATATTCTCTAGGTACATCTACATATAAAATTCTCGTGTCACAATGTTCGTTCCCGTACTCCTCCGAAACGGCTTGACCGATTCTCATGAAATTTTGTGTGCACGTCGGGTAGGTCTGAGAATCGGCCAACATCTATTTTTCATACCCCTAAATGGTAAGGGTGACCCATCCCTAATTTTTTTTTGTATTGCAATACAACGTTTGCCGGGTCAGCTAGTAATATATAAAAAAACATGCCCTGACTAACTTACCGATTCATCAACGCAAAGCCTAAACCTGTTTTAGGTTGTAAGCACCCACTAAATAAGGGATAAACGGTTGCATGGAAGTTAGTGACTTTCAAAGTTAGAAGAATATAATTAATTAATATGATTCCTTGAAAAAAGTAACACCGGCTTCAATCTGCTTTATCGGGATGATTTTTTTTCTCTAGTGCGAATAGTCAGATAGATCCCATGTGTCACAGAATTTTGAAAAAAAAACGCGTGATAGAATATCGCTGTGCGGACGGACCCTTAACAGTTTTAGCGGTAAGAAATTTGCAATGATTTTATATTTATTATGCTCACAGTACCCACAGCTAAAGTCAATTCAGTTACGTGATCAGTTACATCGATAAGGTCTTGCTGTACTGCATTCTAACATAGTATCTACAACTATCACAGTGGACATAACATACTAGAACACTGTGGCAGTTTTACTTTTTTTTTCTACAACCACCTAACAGTTGGCCACTACTGATAAGCGATTTACATTTGCCACAAAAGTGTCAATGTGTATTTATCAAATAGAGTAGTAGCAATACTAATAGCCGGTTAATTCAAAATCATGCCATAAGGTTTATTTTAGGGGTTAAAAATTATAATCAAAACTTATATTATAAATGTGAAAGTGATTTTGTTTGTTACGCTTTCAGGCCTAAACCAATAAACAACTTTTAAAATTCTTCCAAAAATGGAAAGCTACTTACTTAAAGCTATTACCAGCGAGTAACTTAGGCTGATTTATACCGCGGCAAAAGCTAGTAAAGTATAGAAAACAAGAAACTAAATGGTAGTTTTATCAGTCTGTCTAATGCTAGTCAATAATTATTGTTTAAAGTTATGACTTTCTTAGCAACAACAGAGCACGTGTCCATAAAACTCATAAACACGTAAATACATGCTTTAACTTTTATCGACCTTGACCTTGTCAATTTCTACAGACCCCCAACCTCTTAAGACCCACAAGAACTCAAGATGTATATTCACTTTTATGGGTTCCTGGCGCTTGAATCTGAAGGCTACTTTTAACCAAATTCATAAATAGGGGAAGGTATAAATTAGGTTGTATTATTTTTTTTAATATCACAGAACTCCGACAGTTATGAAACCATTTGAAAAAATCTTGTTTTATGTGAGTGGATATAGTTTCCATTTGGTCTCTTTGGTAAAGAACTTTTAAAAATAATAATGGTCGATGGCAAAATTATGTAAAATTAACTTTTATCGCGAACGAAGTCTCGGACAAAAACTTGTTGATGACTATAATTACAATTAAATCACCGCCTTTTTTTTATATAAACCCACCAGGTTTTTATATAAAAACAAATATAAAGCTTCTATTAAAAACAATTACCTATTTAGCACTTTACAAATAACAATATAATTACTTTATAAATATTTTAAACATGTACTTAATTCCCTTTTTAATTTTCTAACCCTTTTTAAAAGTAATATTTGATTTAAAATTTTAAGGCTTTTGTGTTTTCTGATATATTTTACAAAAAAAGTTATTTATGCTTTAGTTAGAATTATTATTATATATAAATTTTAACGGCTTTACTAGTTTTCCAATTAGGAATTGTAAATTAAATTATCATTATTATTATAACTCAACTTACAAGAACATTTAAAAATAAATTTAAATAATATACCAGGTTATACTTCATTTTTTTATTTTTGTTTTATTTTTGTGATGGATATTTCTTTTTATGATTTTTTAGTTATTCTATAAATATCTTTACCATTAAGCCCTTCTACGTATAATTATCAAGTACCCTTTAAAAAAATTTGAAACTTTTGAAACTCTTTTTTTACACTTTGAAATATAATCAATAGAATAAAAATATATATTAATAAAAAATAATAATATATAATATAAAATGTGAACATATAAAAAATGTGATTATTGCACATATCAAGCGCATACAAATACCTACACACCTTTGCGACTGCAAATTCTTTATGTTAAAAATCTTAAAAACAAGAATAATAAAAGTTCACGACATACCTAGGTTTGATTGAAAATCTGTTGGGGGTTGCGCGGCCCGCCCGCGCCGCGACGAATGCGCAGCCTCCGCTCGGGATACCATTAAATATGCGCTCACGCATGACCTGATAGGAGAGCGTTCTATGAGCACAGGGGACCACAACTGTTGGGACAGTATATGTCATGTGACATCTATTTTTGAAAGGATTTACCAGTAACATATGTTATTGGAATTCTTAATAGGGGTTATTTAGAAATTTACATACCCAGCTTATGATACAAGAAAGCTAAATTTTCTCAAAAACTTTATAAAAAACGTTTCTTAAATTACATTAAACAATATAAAAGATCAAGTAGGGTGTAACTGCCATCTCTTGCCCCTAGGTAAGCCCATGCTCTAATTTGATTTGACACCGACCATCAAATATTCATATTTCCGAAACTTAAAAAATATAGAATTTCTAGTTTTTACAAAACGTAGCTTAACATCTTTTTTATTGATCGATAGATGTTTTTCAAGTCTGTTTTCTTTCCTATCTAGACATCCGATTATGATATCGATCCGGCTTTTATATATTGTAGGTATTTCGTCAATAAATATAATATCCAACATCAAATTAACTTTTTTATATCAGATTTACCGATATTCAAACCCACAGCCCTTTTGAAAAACAAACGCATATTTCACACATAATTGATCCTTGGATTTTTTTACGATCTTTATTTAAGAAGAAATTTATTTCAGCTAATCTGCTCAGGGAAGCTTTTCTAAATTCAAGGCCCATGCAATAACTATATAGATCCCGACATAATATGAAGTACTTTTAGACATAGAAGCTAGTTATAATGACTTGGCCTCTTTTAAAGAATTTCAATTTTTTTCTTTGCAATAATGTAATCCTTACTTTCAAAATAAGTGATTACAAATTTTAGAAATCAAATTAAAACTTCTATAAGTATAAAAAAAACTGTTGTGAACCCCTATTTTCAGCCTAATAAGTAGGCCGCAAACAAATATGTATATTATGTTTAGTGTAACCGTCCAATCCTAAAAGCAAGCGCGACTTTTTAATTGTTCAGGTCAAACGACGCACGCGCTTATTTTTATTGCTAAGCGCCATTTCATTGGCGACAATGGTTCTGTAAAGTAGGCGTCATTAAATTATTCTAGTATGCAATATATTTCGGCAATATTTGCTACTTGCCATAAATCTGTAAAAAGCATTTTAACCTAAACTTTAGATTTACATAATGAGAAATAATAATAAATAATGATAACTTCTCTGTCTGATCCCAAACTAGGCAGAGCCTGTGCTGTAGTAACCAGACTGCTGATAAACATACTTATATATTCTTAAATACATACATATTATAAATCAAATCAAATCAAATCAAATTTATTTTTGCAGATACAACGGTTACAATGGTTTTATAAATACATAGTTATGTTTCAAGTGATTCTACCTTAAGGCATGCAAAATATATACAATTATTACTTACTAAAATTAAAATCGACATCGAAGTATTTAAATCAAATTATATTACAGCATTTAAGTATTAAAAATGAATGTAATGTCCTTATTAAAATTACAATGATAAATATTAGTTATTTATTTAATAATAATTAGATTAGTTCTATGTCACTCACTGAATTATTATGTATTAACAAATTAATTACATTCAAAAGACACACAAAAGGTCTCAGGATTGGAAAGATCATCGTTCAGATAGTCATTCAACTTATAATAACACTTATTAACTAAAAGGGTCTTTAAATGTTTCTTAAATAAAGTAGTATTCATTGCCCTTATTTCTTTAGGTAATTTATTGAAAATTACCGGAGCCATGTGAAACAC